CCCACGCTGTCGTGTTGCCGATCGCGCAGGCGCAGGCCACCATGCCTGTGGCGGTGGCGCAGGCACAGCCCAAAGGCGACCCTGTAGCGCGGCTCGAGGCGCTCAAGTCAATGCTGGACCGCGGGATGGCCACGCAGCAGGAGTTTGACGCGAAGAAGGCGGAGATCCTTGCGGAGATGTGAAATTGTGAAATTGTGCGGTTCGCGGCGGTGGCTCTCTGCTGTGGCTCCCAACCCTGTTCATGAATACACTTGAGTTGAGTTGAATAGAGCGGTGCCCGATCTATCACGAGCTTAACCAGACGCCTCTCTACCCGTTTCGCTTCTTCTTTGCTGGCACATTCATATAATGGTAGCATGATCCACGCATGAGGGCGGCACGCGCGATGCTTCTTATACTTGGAATGTTCCTTGCACCCGCGGCACGGTCGAGAGCACATGTCGCTGTGTCGCACACATGCCATGTACTAATGCTGCTTGGAACGTTTGGTCCCAATGCTCGGTTACTTTCGCCCACGTACATCTCTTCCGTCTGCAAGTTGAGTCGCACATACACATACGCTTTGCCATCCACAGGGTTGGTCATACTCAACTTCACGTTTCTCCACACCTCGGCTGCTCTATTCAAGCATCAAGGGTACGTGCTTACTTAACTATCCTCGACAAACGACAATAGGTGTACCCATGGTCTTATCGCATTATTGTACAATTATTCACGCGCACTACTCGCTTAGTGTGGGTAAACCATAAAAGTAGGTTTGAATTCGTCCACGTAAGGCTTGGTGAGTGGTTGGGGTGGCCTCAGGCATCCCCAAGGGAGCCTCTGCGGTGCCACATAAGCAGCTTAGTGATTGTTGAGACTTTAAAGTGTATTCGTTTGAAGAAACGCAAACAGGACAGACGCTACTATGGTCACCAGTAAACCATAATTCGACTTTGAGGGATCATATCTCAAAAGGCTGGGTGAGAGCATAGCATTATTGTTGTATATTAGGCCGCATAAGGTCAAACTCGACCCCACAAGCATCAAGAACCCGATGCTCCCGCTCGACTGTGCCGGCACACTGCCTCCTCGCGCACGCTGCTAGCAGGCCGTTGCGGCCCGTGGTGCACCAGAGAGAGAGGTCGACACGTTGCCCCCGCCGGCGAGTCCGCGCGGCTCAGGCCGGCCAGAAGGTGTGTGGTGGCGGCACCGTGGCAGGATTGCGGAGAAGAGCTCGCCGAACGCGAGCAGCAGATGGCCAAAGTGTGCCAGCGCGAGAGCCTCGCGTGAGTGCAAGTGCGAGTGCGGGGGCGGGGGTGGGGGGGCGGGGGGGCGGGGGCGGGGGGGGGGGGGGAGTGGAGCAGTAATGTGGGAAGGCTGCCGGCCTCCGCCAGATGCTTTGCTTGCGCCTCTTGCACCTCACGGGGTGTAGCCTCTCGCCGCATATACACAACTGTACAGCGCGAGCAGCCGTTTCGCGCGTTATCGGCCGGGGAGCGACCACGAAATATTTTTTTGTGGTCTTCGGTAAGTAAGTAAGGGTGCGGGGGTGGGCGTCAAGGCCCTCCCCCCTTCGCCCACCTCGACTCCTTCGAATAAGGGCAGATATGCCCGTAAACACACCCCGCACACCGCACACCCCACAACACACAACACACAGCAAGCTCGTCTTTTCTTTGGGCTTTTTCTTTTTCAGTAAGATTCTTTTTCAGTGGGTGTACCTGTGTTAGTGCCAGTGCGCGCCAGTCCCGTGCCCAGTGTTGTGCGAGGGAGTTTCTTAAAAGTGAGCCGGTGTGTGTGCCAGTCCGCGCCAGTCCACGCCCTTGTCGTGCCAGTGTGCGTGAGAGGCCGGGAGAATTCTTTTTCAGCTGCACGCCCGCATCGATTGCAGAGTCGTACGAGCTGGCGCTGCCTACTCAAAGCTCGGCGCATGGCACCGAGCAAGGCCGTGCCGCATCCTTCTCAGCATGACCTCCTTCGAGCTTACGCGCGGCTGTGGGCGGTCACTGAGTTTGTCATCATCTACGGCGACATGTTCCTCGTGCCGGGCTGCGAAAGCTTCTTCCCTTCTGAGTGCGTCGAAACGCCCGTCTGGTTCTGGGCGCAGTGCGCTCTCTGGCTCGCCATCCTGGCAGTGCCGTCTCGGCTCCTCGTCAGCCTCTCCATGCTTGTGCGCGTGTCCATGTTCGTGGTCCAGTCGCCCATGATCTGGGAGAGTTGCCACTGGGCGAACGCACTCGAGCTCGCATGCGTGGTCACGCTGCTGCTGTGTCCCGCCACCGCCGTCGTTGACCAGACGAAGGACCTCATGCGCACCATGATCAGCCTCTTCTACATCGGAGCCGGCTTCTGGAAGATGAACACCAGCTTCCTCGACCCGACCGTCTCGTGCGGCACCATTTACGTCGCGTCGCTACTGGCCACTTTCGCGCCGGAGGGCCTACTCCCGCCGTGGCTGGTGACCGCAGCTCTCGGGAGTGCTCCGTGGATGACGATCATCGGAGAGATGAGCATCGGCGTCCTCCTCCTCCTGCCCAGCCGGCCCATGCGCCGCGCCGGCTTCGTGCTATCCAACATGCTCCACTACGCGATCTGCATCACTCCGCACCCGAACGCGGTGCCGCTCTTCGGTGTGTTTTGCTACACCCGTCTCTTCTTTGTCATGCCCGAGGCGTGGACGGTGGCCCTGGCCGAGGCCGTGAGCGCGCCGAGGACCTCGAGCGGCCTCGCGTTCCGGGTCGCCTCCGTCGCCCTCGCGGCCTGGTCCGCCTCGCTCACCTCCGACCCGGGCCTCGTGATCAACTGGGGCATCCCCGCCCAGACCATCCTCTGCCTCATCGGCGCGAGAGTCGTGCTGCTCGACATGCGGCACGCGGCCGCGTGGGCGGAGGCGGGGCCCATCGGCCTGGGCGCCGTCGGCGGGCTCGCCAGCAGCATCCTACGCGCGAACGGCGCATTTTGGGTGCTGGCGGTCCTCTTCTACGTGTTTGGCGCGCAGACGCTCGGACTTATGGACATCTCTGCGACGAGCCCCTTCTCGCACATCCGCGAGCACGGCGGCTCTAACCACCTTCTCATGCCAACCTCGCTGCTGCAGCAGTGGGAGTGGAGCCGCGGCACGGACGGGTTTGGCGGCGGCGTCGTCCGCGTCACGAGCTGCTCGAGCGACTACCTCAACGCGATCTACCCGTGCAACGTGACGGACGAGCTGCGGCCCGGCATCCGGGACATGCTCCACTCGTTTGGGCACATCGGCCACGAGTACCACCCGACCGTGATGCGCATGTTTGGCTCGCACAGGATCCGGAGGCACGTGCCGCACTGGACGGCGGCCGCAGGGTTGCCCTTCCCGGTGTACACCGTCCCCGGCCTCGAGCTGCGGCGCATGCTCGCAGAGGCGCGCGCCGCCAACGAGTCCTTCGTCCTCGAGTACGACACGCTGCCCGGCGTCGTCGGCGACGAGAAGTGGAGGCACACCGCCGTGCAGTCCAAGGTGCGCCTCGAGGAGGACGGCGCGGGCGGGATCAACTGCCGCGTCCTCCGCCGCCCGCTCGACGAGGCCGAAGAGTGGGCGCCGTGCGGCGAAGACGAGCTCCCACTGCAGCCCGCCCCCACGGGCCTCCTGATGAAGTTCTTGGTCTGGTTCCCCTACCCCGTGGTCGAAGGGGTGTACGAGATTCCCTGCATTGACTAGGCGGTGGCATGCTGTATGTCAGATGACAGTTCCCTCTGTCGAGTGTACCCTTTTTCGTGGCCTTGTTCGTATGTAGAGATCTCTCCTAGGACGGCACGCCGCCACCACACAGGGATTTTAAGGAGAGGGGTGTGGTGCGCTAGCCGTCGCCCACCCTTGGGCGTCCGCCTCTTCCTATCTCTCTTCGCAGTCTCTCGCCGATTCTCGCTGCAACCTCGCTGGGAGAATTCTTTTTGTGTGCCGACTCCCGAGGTGCCGCAGGGCGGTCGGGCCGACACCGTATGCTAGTCGGAGTGGATTGTCTAGGGGTGTAAAGGTCGGTAGAGTGTCCGTTTGTGGCCTCCGGACGGGCTCTGGTCGGGAGCCCGCCGGGCCGGCTGAGGCTGTGTGTCCGTCCACTGTGGACCCAGTGATGGCCTAGGAGCCTTGCACGGACGGTGTTTATGCTATATAACACCTAGGGACCGCGTGGGGTGGGCGGCGAGCCGCGCATCGGCCGACAATGTGCCGGTGTACGCGTTTCGGTGACACTCAGGGCCCGTTTTGCATGACCTGCAAGGGGGAGCGGGGATAGAGAGACCACTCGTGTACGACCACCTTTTGCACTTAAGCTCACACCAAGTGACCGCGATGCGCACACGCTTGTGCACATCACAAACGCACAACAACGCACAACCACAAGCAAAGGAACCACTACCACACCACCACATGCTCTCCGCTGCAGCGAGACCCACCGCAGAGGAACCATCCGGCACTCCACTACTACGGCATGCACGCCGCACTCTCCCCCATATCGTCACACACAAAAGATAAGGGGTAGCACAGCACAGAGAATGCTCAAGTATACAGGCACTAAGCGTCGTCATTGCCACCCAGAGAGGCACGAGCCACCCCAACGGACATCGGGCACGCGTCCGTGCATATTAGTGTGTTGGGAAGGCCGTGCGTCTGCGAGCCTGCTCACGTCATCATCTCGGGCAGGAGCCGCTGGACGTGTGACGGGAGGAGCGGCTTTGGAACGAGTAGCACATCGTCGAAGCCAGCCTCGAGGCACGTCTCGCGTAGGTTCGGGATTCGCGCGTTGGCCGAGACGGCAAGAACGCGAGCACGGGAGCCCCCCTGATGGGCTTCGTAGTCGCGAAGGTGGCGTACCGCCGGCAGTCCATCAATCGTCTTTAGGTCAACGTGCGCCCGTGTACTCCCGGCCACACACACACAGACAGAAGGAGTAACGAGGCGAATCGCCTCAAAAAATTACCCTCCCGTTGCAGCACGCTCCTCAACCGGTCTGTGGGGAAGTGCCGGAGCGGAGCTCCCACGCTCTTCACTGCCTCGCCGCGAGCGTTTCCTCGCCAGCGTGGAGCCGCTCCATGTATACACGTCGCCCGACCGACGGCCACGCGAAGCCCACGCCCGATGGTTCGTCGCCATGCCAGAGCGACCAGTCCCGCCAGCTCGCGCTGCCGTCCTCGACCGTCGCGAACCCTAGCTTCTCGTAGAGGCGCATCCCAGCGGTGTTGCGCTCGTGAACGTGCAGGCAGAGCGAGCCGTATCCCCACCCGCGCGCCACTATCTCGGCTTCCGACACCACGAGGCTGAATCGGTCATGTGAAGGCGAGGTCAAGAAGCGGAGGCCCTCTGGTCCGTCGCTGGCGACGACGAGGCTGCCGCGCCCGACGCCGAAAACGTGGACGAGCTTGCGAGCGAGGTCGTCGTCGCCCACCACAAGCACCGAGTAGCCCCTCGTATTTGAGAAAGACTCCAGCTCCTCGTCGGAGAGGAACACCGCCATCGTGCGATTGCTCAAAGCACACACCAGCTTCGTCAGCTTCCTCGTATCGAAGTTTCCACGAATTTCTTCATTAGGCAATCAAGCCGCACTTTGTTTTCTCTCTTTGTTTTCTTTCTTTCTTCGCAAAGGAGGCCCCGTGCCTGCGCCCGTGCAACTTTGTCCTATACGAGAGGGGAATCCTGGGGACCGTCGTGTGGGTGAACCCTTGGCCTTTCCGAGGGTTTCCTCTCGCACCCTACCTGGTTTCCTTTCCGTGTTTCCTGCTCGTTTCCCTACAACACCCTCTAGTTTCCTCGGGAAACCCCGGGGAAACTCCGTGGAATTCGTCATTTTGGGGGGGGCTCTGAGCCGTGTCTGAGGCTGTTTTGGGGCCAAAATCGGCAAAATACCGGTATTTTGCGGGTATACCTGGAAAACCCCGGTAAACCTGGAAAATACCTGGGTATCGTGCCGATTTCCTCAATTTTGCCTCAGATTTTGCCCCAGACCAGCTCTCAGACTCAGGGAAACTCGCGAGTTTCCCGAGGGAAACTCGAGAGAAACAGAATGGAGCACCAAACACCCTCTGGTTTCCCTGGAAACTTCCGGAAACGCAAAGTGCTGGGGACCCTCTGGTTTCCCTCTGGGTTGCCGGAAACCCTCGGAAAGGCCAAGTGAACCCGGGCTCAACCAGGTTTGCCTCTCGCACCCCGTCTGTTTTCCTTTCCTTTTTTCTCTACAGCACCCTCTCTTTTCCTCTCTATTTTCCCGGGAAAACTGCGTGGAAATCGTCAAAGTTTTGGCTCTGAGCCGAGTCTGAGGCTAGAGTTTCGGCCCAAAATCAGCCAAATTTTAGGCCAAATCGGCAAAATGCCGGGAATTTCGCGGAGAACCCCGTATATACCTGGAAATTACCCTGCGACCGCCTGGGTATTTTGTCGATTTCCTCAATTTTGCCTCAGATTTTGCCCCAGACCAGCTCTCAGACTCAGAGAGTGAGTGAGTGAGTGTCGTGATTTCTTGTTGGTTAATAAAAATCTCTCTCTCTCAGACTCAGGGAAACTCGCGAGTTTCCAGAATGGAGCACCAAACACCCTCTGTTTTCCCTGGAAATTTCCGGAAACGCAAAGTGCTGGGGACGCACTCTTTTCCTTTTTGTTTGCCGGAAAACCTGGTTGAGCCCAAAACCCGGCCCAGCCCCCCTCCGTGTCGCGATGCGCACATGCGCTCCCCACTCCCGTTCCCCTGTGTCCCTGATGCTCGTGCAGGTGCCCTGTTGTCCTCTACGCGCGAAAAATTCTTTCTTTCCTGTAGTCCGCGCCAGTCCGCGCCCTTGTCGTGCTGCGCCATAAGAATTCTTTCTTGCGGGCGACTTCCGCGAGGTGCCGCCGGTGAGCATCCCCGTGCTCCAAGCTCAGCTCGGAGCGCCACCGCTCCTTGCTCGGGCCGCCACCCTTGCCGCGCGCGCACACACAGCCTCGGTCGCAGCGCGCCCGTGAACGCATGCCGGCTGGGCCGACGAGAGAGGCGCCTCGCGGCCTCTCCTCCTGCTCTGCTCACCCGCCACACGATGTTGGCCGCAGGTGGTGCGGCGGCGACACAGGACAACACACCGCGAGAGCGCATGGCGCATGCGACAAACCTTCGCCAGGCCTACGCACTCCTCACTGCCTCCTCCTCCGAGGCTGAGCGCCGCGCTGCCAACGAGTGGCTCGTGGGGTTCGCAAAGACGGCGGAGGCATGGGGGGCGGCCGAGGAGCTGGTGCGGCCAAGCGAGGCGGCGGAGGAGGTCGCCTTCTTCGCGGCAAACCTGCTCTACTCGAAGATCAAGACCGAGTGGCACACCCTCGCGGACGCGCCTCGTCGCCAGCTACGCGACGCACTCTGGTCCGCCGCTTGCGGCCGGCCCTCCGGCGGGGAGGGACAGCCCGGGCCGGCGGCGCGGCGGCTATGCCTGGCGCTGGCGGCGGCAGCGGCGCGGACGGAGGGCCTCGCCGAGGAGTCCACGCGCCTCGCCCTCTCGCTGGCGGCGGCGGCGGACGCTGTGCAGGGCGGTCTTGCGGTGGAGCTGCTGGGAGCACTCGCAAACGAGGTGGTGGCGGAGGAGGAGGCGACTGGCGCCGCCTCGCCGGGCAGGAGCGGGCTGCGGGCTCTCGCCCCTGCTGTGCTGTGCGCGCTGCAGGCCCTCGCCCCACTCTCTTCCAGCATGTGCATCGGGTGCTTGCGCGCGCTTCAGGCTTGGCTGGCGCTCAACGCCGGATCGTCCCTCGCCTCGCTCTACGCCGGCCAAGGCCCCCTGCTCGCCGCCACCCTCAATGCCCTCGCCGCCGTCAACAACGAGCCGCTCAATCTCGCCGCTGCCGACGCGCTCGGCGAGCTTCTCACGAGCACAAACAGCCCGCTGCCTGCCAGCGCGCCGCGGGGCGCCCGCGACGCGGCGGAGGCGGTCGCGGCACAGTTCGGCGTCCTCGCGCGTGAGGTGCGGCTGGCGGAGCTCTTGATGAGCGGCGAGCCGGCGGACGACCGGCTCTTCTACTTTTGCCGCGCGCTGTGCGCGTTTGCGGAACGGTGCGTCGATCTGGTCGCCGTGACGGAAGGGTCGTTGCTCCCGCTCGTGGAGCTGCTGCTGCTGTGCGCGGGCGGCGAGCTGCGCGTTGCGGAGCTGTCGATCGACTTTTGGGTCGGGCTGCAGGACACGGCCGTCGCGCAGCGGCACGAGCGGCTGCGCGCGCCGCTGTACCGCCGGCTGGCGACGCTGCTGCTCGACAAGTGCACTTTGCCGGCGGACTTCACATCGTGGGACGAGGCCGCGGAGGACGAGGAGGAGTTTCGCCGGTTCCGGGAGCAGTCCGCTCTCGAGGTGCTGGGCGCGTGCCTCTCCCTCCTCGCGTGCGAGTTCGTCGGCCAGCTCCAGGTTGCCCTCCGACTCGGCCCCCCTCTGCCCTGACGCCGCGCCTTGGCTGCCGCCACGCGCCGCGCCTCCGCTCTGCCCATGTTGCCCCGCTGGCGCGCCTGCAAGCGCGCCGCATGCGCCGCCGCCGCCGCAGCAGCAGCAGCCGCCTCTGCCGCCGCCTCCGCCTCCGCAGCGGCCACCTCTGCCGCCTCGCAGGCGATGCTGCAAGGCTCGCCGCCCTGGCAGAAGCTCGAGGCGGCCCTCTTCGTGCTCCGCGGCCTCCACGTCCAGATCAAGGGCGCGCTGCGCGGCAGCGCGGCCGACGGCGAGGGGCGGCCCTCGGCGGCAGCAGAGCTACAGGCTGCATTGAATCAGCTGCTCGGGTTCGTGTTCGGCCAGCTGGCGGCGTGGCGGCCGAGCGGCGCGACGCTCCTCGTCGAGTCGGCCATGCGGCTCGTGGGCGCCTTCGCCAAGTGGCTGCAACGGGACGAGGCGCCAGAGTGCGATTGTGTGTGTGCGGGAGCTGGTTTGTCGGGAGGGGGAGGGGCAGGCTGCTCACCCACGTGCACCGGGCCAGTGCTTGCACTTTGAATGCCGTGGGGCTCCTGCCCGTGTCCGGGTGTGGAGATGCGAGGGTCGCCCCCCCTTGCCCCACCACTTTGTGGGTGTGGAGAAATTACCTGACCTTACCTTAGGCGCTGCTTCGCGGCTGCCTCCGGCTGGTGCTCGAGGCCGTCCAGGCGGGAGGAGCGCCGGAGCACGCCGCAGAAGCGTTCCGAGCGCTGTGCATCCATGGCCGAAGGAGGCTCGCGAGCGCGGCGTATCTGTCCGAGCTCGTCGGTCCGTGCACGGCGCTCGCCGGATCGGCGGCCCTCGCGTCCAGCGTCCGGCTGACGCTGCAGGAGGCGCTCGCGCGGCTGGTCGGCGCCGCTCCCTCGCCTGCCGAGGCGGAGCAGCTGCTTCACGCGCTCGTCCGCGCGCCGTGCGAGCAGCTCGCCGCCCTCCTGCCCCACTTGCCTCCCTCCGACGGCGCGTCCGTGCCGCCCGAGACCGCCCCGCGCGCGAGCGACGGCAGCGACGGGTCGCGAGGAAGCGGAGGGGAGGCGTCCGCCACCGCGGCCAGCACCCAGGGCGTGGAGGAGGCGGTTGCGACGCAGCTGGCGCTGATTGGCGCAGCCATCCGATTCAGCGACACGATCCACGTGGGCGGCGGCGGCAGCTGCGCGGCGCACCCCGTCTTCGCTGTCCTCTCCTACTGCTGGCCGCTGCTACAGGACGCGCCGCGCCGCGGGGGCCACGCGGCTACTGTGAACGGCGTCTCTTCACAGGTCGAGCTGTGAACAGGACGCGTCGCGCCGTGGAGGCCCGTCCGTGCTGCAGGCGCTGCTCGAGCTGCACGGTCGCGCGATGGGGTGCCTTGGCGGCGGCCTCGCGCCTCTGTTGCCGTCGATTCTGGAGCAGATCGGCACGACATTCTGCCGCCGGCCGGTGGTTGGCGCGCTTGAGTGCCTGACGCAGGCGACCGAGCAGCAGGGCGGAGCCGCACGAGACGGTGCGAGGCAGGGTTTCCACCCTTCCCCCCCCCTCCCTCCCCCCCCCCCCCCTCCGTGCTCAGGCCATTGAGCTGTACGGGGAGTCGCACGAGGCGCCTCTCTCCGACACACTCGAGCGGTTCGTCGACGCGGTCTGCGGATGGCTCGCGTCGACCGCCGCGCCCGAGGCCGAGCCCGAGCTGCTCAGCGCCTTCTTCGAGCTCTGCCACCGCTGCCTCGTCTTTCGGCCGCAGCTGCTCCTCTCGCTGCCGTGCGTCGCGTCATTATTCGACGCCGCTGCGGCGTGCGTCGCGCACCAGGCCCACCAAACCCACCTTGAGCACATCTCGGCAACATCTTCAGCCACATCTCGGCGTGTTGCACGCCAGGAGTTCCAGCATACACGCGCGGCCATCACCTTCCTCTGCCTCTTCCTCTCGGGAGCCGACGCCGGCATTTCGAACCGCGAGCTGTGAGCGGCGCCTCTTAACGAGTGCGCCTGTGGGTATAGGCACTGACGCCGCCAACCTATACCGCGAGTCAGCTGCGCATTGCCTGCAGCGGAGCGGCGGAACGCTGCTGCGCTATTGCGTGCAGGGCCTCGCCTCGGCGTCGCCAGCCAACTTGGTTGACCATCAGATCGAGTTGTTGCGCGTCATCGCCGAGAGCGCTCCCACGGCGGTACACGGTTGGTTGGTGGCCGCCCTCGCCGACCCGGGCTTGGATTTGGGCGCGCTCCCGCGCCAGGGCGCTGCTGCGGAGGCATTTGTGCGTGGGGCGGCACAGCAGCACGCCACCGTGGCCGCATTTCATTGCGTTGCCAGCGAGTTTTCGCGCGTCTGCCGCGGCAAGGCGCGCTAGGGCCACAGGGCAGCAGCTGCTGCATGTGGGTTGTGGCTCTCCCGAGCCCCCCCGCCCCAGCGGCGCTGATCGCTGTCTCGCTCAGCTTCGTTTTTTCTCCCTCCTCCCTGACTGTCTCGCTCTCGGCTCAACCGCTGTGCTCACATCACCCATGCTTGGCTCAACTAAACGTTAAACCCGGGGCCGGAAACAGGTATGTTATATCGCGGCGCGATTACTCTAGATAAACGCAAAGACACGCGCTGCTCGCTGGACGGACTCAACTGTCAAGATGTCAAGAGAAGCATACGCGAGAGAAAATAAAATGATTCGTGACTCTCGCAAGCCTTCCTACCGGCTAGTGTTCCGATCCCTCTCACCATTTTGACTCGCGGCGGCGCCGCTTCTTGCGCTGCGTCACATCTTTTGGCCGGTGCTTGTCGCAGAGCGCCTGGCAGGGAGGGAGGCGACGGGGGCGGTCACGGTGGGGTGGGGAGTGGAGCCGGCCGCTGGGGGTGGGGTGGGGAGTGTGGAGGCGCGGGCGGCGAGCGGAAGGCGCCTCCAGCAGCACCCAATCGTTCTTCTCCTTTTCGACCATGTGCCACCCCAGCTTTCGGGCGCAGGTGGCGTGGAAGGCGGTGAGGCAGCGAGGCGCCTAGCGCCGAGAAGGGGTCGAATCTGATCGAGATGTGGCGAGCGGTGATGACACCTCTCAGGGGAGGAGTGAGGCAGCGAGGCGGCGCCTTGCACTGGATGCACGCGCCCATCCGCTTGTCGCAGATGGTGCAGACGAGCTTGAGCCGGTCCTCGTGGATGGCGAACGGGTGGATCACGTCGCGCCCCTCAGCGTCCAGGAACTGCGCGTTGGGCACCCACAGCGCGCACGTGATGTGCGCCCACCGGCCGTCAGTTGTCCTCTTCATCGCCCCGCCCTTCTCGGGGCAGAGGATGCACTCCTGCTCGACGCGCCGACTGCTGCCGCCCGCCCGCTTCGAGAATTTGCACATATCGCAGAACCACGGAGCGTCGCCCTCTGGGATCACGCGTGCGCCCGCGCCGTAGCATACCTGCGGACATCGGAGGCGTTAGCGAGCGCTGTGCTCGTGTAGCTGGAGCCTCGAGACTCTCGCCGTGCAACCGTGCCGCCCACCTGGTGGACGGCCAGGTCACAGGAGTCGCAAAAGATGATCTTGTTGTCCTCCTCCCAGTCGCCCTCGCCGCACACGTTGCAGCAGGCGAGCTCCTCGTAGGCGGTGGCGGCCTCCGGGGTGCTCTCCGCGGCAGGCGCAAGTAGTGTGTCGTCGAAGAGCGTGTCCATGGGCGAAGAAGGAGAGGGAAAACGAGACAGAGAGAGAGGCAACTGGCTCTAAACGGCGGCCTCAAACGCGCCAAAGCTGGCAGAAGAATTTCATGGCTACATACTGAGCTGTGTGCAGGCTCCTTAAAATCCCTGTGTGGTGGCGGCGTGCCGTCCTCCCATCCCTCCCTTGGGTTGTCTGTTTTCTTGCTTTCTTTTTTTTGCAGGTTGCAGCGAGAATCGGCGAGACACTGCGAAGAGGCGACGGCTAGCGCATCACACCCCTCTCCTTAAAATCCCTGTGTGGTGGCGGCGTGCCGTCCTCCCATCCCTTGCGCGCCATCCCTCCCTTGCTTGGGCTGGCTGTCCGTTTTCTTTCTTTTCTTTCTTTCCTGTGTGCAGGGCCCGCCCCGCACACAGCGGGTCCAGGGGTGAAGCAGAAGCATTGCAAGGGGCGGCAGAAGAAGTATCACAGGTCGCCAAGGGAAATCGTATGGCCATATTGCTTATAACGCCGGAAAACCAACAACGCCTCGACAGTGAGTTCATGCATGCACCTGTGCCACGGCGTGCGCAGCCTTTGCGAGGCAGCGTGCACGTCGATCCAGAGAGCGAGCACCTGCGGCACGCGTGGTCGTAATACGAGCGTCATCTTGTAGTGAACAGGCCGACTTCGCGGTTTGAGCGCCCAGCGCAGACCGACCGACCGCAGGGGGGGTCCGGTCGGCGGCCGCGGAAGACCGCAAACCGCAGGGGGGGTCCGGTCGGTCGGAGCGCAGACCGAGGGGGGGGTCGGTCGGGTTGGCTCGAGGGTCACACCGCACACGCTCGCCGCAGCTGTGAATAAATTAGTATCTCGAAATACTAGAGACACCAAGCGACCTCTCCCCGTCTAATCACTCCTCGTGACGTCGTCCGAGTTGCTGAGCTCGAGACCGCGCTCAGGATTGGGTCGGAACACGAGCTCGTCCATGTCCACGCTCTGGTCGTCGTCGTCGTCCATGATTAGCTTCGCCGGCGACACACTGTAGCCGTTGACGAGCCGCTTGAGCGCGGCCAGCACCTCCTTCTGCCGGCCGCGCGCCCACGGGGGCAGCGTGCAGTAGAACTCCTCATCGAAGGTGAACTGCTCCTCCTCCGACTCCAAGAAGAGGTCCACCTCCCTCTCCACCTCCGTCGTGAGGTTGATCTGTAGCTTGAGGGGTGTGTCGCTGCTGTCGCTGTCCTCGTCCTCGTCCTCGTCCTCGTCCTCGTCCTCGTCCTCCGCCTCCGCCTCCTCCTCCGCCTCCGCCTCCTCCTCGCCCTCGCCCTCGTTCTCCGAATCGGACGGATCGCCTAAGCTCTGCCCGCGCGAAAATTTGGAGACGTGAAGACCGGGTGCGAGGCAGATCATGTTGCCGGCATAGCTCTGCCCGCGCGCAACGCGCAGCATGTCGCGATTAACTGAGTTGCTCTCCAGAAGCGGCGTCCATCGATTGCCATTCGCTGTCGCTTGGGCGACTCGGAAGCCGATGAGCCCGGTGACGGCGGCGGCGATGTGTCGATCCACTCTGGCAAGTCATCGTAGTCATCGGAAGGGACGATGCGCGGTGACTAGTTTTCATAGTGAAAACCGGCGATTTCGAAGCGCCCGTGGCGGTTCGCGAGAAGGAGGGAGAGCGTTTCAGGGGGCTCACGGCAAGGACACCGACCGAGGGGGGGGGGTCGGTCGTCACACCTCCCGCCGCCGAGAGAGCGACCGACCGGAGGGGGGGTCCGGTCCACCTCGGGGGCAGACCACCGACCGGCGGGGGGGTCCCCACGAAGTAGGGGGGGTGGGTACAAAGTGACGCTCGTATAAGCGTAAAACGGGTGATCTGGAAAGAAATTTCCGCGCTCGCGCGTTGGGTAGAGCTCTAATTCGGAACGACATTTCGCCCGCCGTGTTGGGGAACTGCGAGATGGGGGGGCAGGAGCTCGTCGAGGCCAGCGCGAGGATCGCCGAGCTAGAGGCGGAGGTCGCCGAGCTCAAGAGGAACTCGCAGGCCCCCGTTCCCTCCACATCCTTGTCCAAGTCGCTGCTCGCGGCGCTGGCCGTCTTCCAGGTCCTCCTCCTCGCCATCTGTCTCTGGGGGGCAATCATCTCGACAATCAACTATACGGAGGCGCCCTCCATGAAGACCTCGTTCATGACGCCGCAGCTCTCCACGCTCAAGAACGCCGCGGACGACTGCCCCGTCGCGGTGCACGAGACCAAGCTCGTGATGCAGGGCGGCTTCTTGGAGATTGAACTCCAAGATGTGGACGGTTCCGAAGGGCGCCAGCGCCAGAACTACACCATCAACGCAGCAACAAACATCGGTGACAACCTGCCGCGACGCCCTCGTGATTGCAGACAACTATGAGAACGGCGTGGATCACGTGGTCCTCCCGTGCCGGACGTGCGGAGGCGACAAGACGTACCCGCTGCTCTCGCCGACGATGCTTACGGAGAAGGAGGACCACTTCATTCTCCGCGGACACATTGGCGAGCCGCTGAATGGAGACTATGAGGTGCACGCCACACACTCCCGCAGCCCCCCCCCCCCCCCCCCCCTCTCGACTCCCCCCTCGTTGAGTAATCCTGGCCGGCGTGTAGATCAAGTGCTGCTACCCGAAGTCGGAGTGCATGGCCCGGCCCAGCCTGCCCTGCGCGATGGCTCCAGTGCCGGAGGCCGGCCTGCCAGAGCACACATGCCCCGATTGGGAGCCGGAGCCTGAGCCGGATCCCGAGCCACACGGGCGCATGTTGTTTGAGGCGGACGGCCATGCGGAGCTCGACCCCTTCGAGTGCACGGACACCCCCGATGAGCGCCTTGCGCAAGAGGCGAAGAAGCTCAGCCTGCCAGGGCCAAGCTGCACGGAGCTCCGCGCTGCGGGGGCGTGCGAGCTTGAGATGGTCAAGGAATTGTGTTGCAAGGCGTGCAAGGCGTACGGCCACACGAAGGGTCGTCGTATGGGTAAGTGCACTGGCTAAGTGCTGATTGCCCACAACATGCTGGGGGGGGGGGGGGTCAGGATGCCTAGCGTTCGCACACATCTCGAGCTTGGCAAACCTTGCCTAGCGTTCGCACATCTCGAGCTTGGCAAACCTTTCCCCGTTCTGCCAGCTTGTGGAAGATCTCTCTGATCGGCATCTACGATCTCCACTCAACAAATCGCTACTGGTCAGCTACTGGTGTCCCGTAGAGATCTCGATGTATGAATGTCCACAATAAACACATACCATGCCGAAATGCCGATCTCCTTCTACTCTTCTCTCTTGTGAGCGGCGCCCGCGCCCACAGGAAGCCACACATCCCATGAGCATGACGACGCTCTCCACACTCCAGACTCCACACGAGCGGTTGCTCTCTCGCGAGTACACACGTGTACAGTAACATGTCGCAGCACATGGAAACGCCCTGGCCCGGCTGGTAACATCGACAGACAGTCCGTCCCTCTGGCAGCGCCCGTACTACTGCGCGTAGCGTGCTGGGCGTGCCGTCATCCACGGGGGGTGGTCTGTCGATGCTCCGGCGCCGTCGCGCCCCGCTCACGCGGTCGCCTCCAGGAGCCAGTCTCGGAAGGGCTGCAGCTCGAAACAGGCGTTGTGCGGCCGGCCGATGCGCTCGAGCACGCCGCCGCGCACGCCGTACAGCCGGATGGGCCACGCGGCCAGGGCGCGGAGCAGCGCGTCGTCGAGGCCGTCCACCAGGAGCGGGAGCGGCGCCAGGCAGGGCAGCGCGGCGAGCATGCGCTCGGCGACGGCCCGCCGCTCCGCGAGGCTGGTGGGGCGCAGCACCGAGTTGGCGGGCCCGGCGCAGCGGGACGAGTTGATCGGCCACTCGTCGGCCGCATGCGCCTCCGCAATGTACACGAGCTGGACGCGCGCGCGGCCGGCAAACTCGCGAGACAGGGAGGCGAGCGAGGGCGCCAGGCCGCGGAGCGGGGGTCAGGTGAAGGAGCCGGCGACGAGGAGGGTCGGCGCCGGGCCGGCGCACGCGGCGCGGAGCCCGACGGCGGCGGCGGCGGCGGCGGCGCCGGGCCGCAGCGGAAAGAGCGGCACATCCGGCAGCGCGTCGCCGTCGCGAAGGGTACCCCGCTCCGCGCGGTTGTGCCGCACCTGCAGGGAGATCTGCCGCAGCTCTGCGTCGTGCGGCCAGAGCTGCGCCGCGCTGCGCAGGACAAAGAGCGCCGCCGACATCCGAACCGGTGGCACTCCCGCCTCGCGGAGCACGCGCCGCTGTAGCTCCTCGGTCACGTCGAGCCAGTCGCTGTCGTCGCGGCCCTCCGCCGCAGCGTACGCCTCCTGCGTCGACGGCGACAGGCGCGCCGCCTCCTCGGCACGCAGCGCAGCCTTGAGCTGCGGCAGAGAGAGGCCCGCCGCCGCGAGCGCCCGCGAGCCGGCGTCGGCGGTGGCGGTGGCGGCGCACCCCGCTCCCGCCGCTCACGCGGGGGGGCCGCCGAGCCGCTGCTTCTTGGGGGCGTCGTCGGGCGCGTGGGCGGCCGAGGAGGAGCCCGCCTGCCCCCGCTGCAGCATCTGCTTGAGGAGGCGCTTGGCGTCCGCCTCGCTCATGTCGTCCACCTCCTTGTCGCGAGCCGCCTTGGCGAGCGCTGCCGTCGCCGCCGCCTTGACGTCGGCACACGTGGTGGCGCCCGTGATGTCGATGGTGTCGAGCGTGCCGCCGTCGATGGTGCGCAGCTCGAGCCGGCACCTGACCTTCGCGAGGTCCTCGTAGTCGAGGCGGCCGCTCGTGATGTGCATCATGCCGCCGCGCAGGTGGAGGACAAGGTGCAGGGTCGACTCCTCCTGGATGTTGTAGTCCGACAGGGTGTGGCCGTCCTCGAGCTGCTTGCCCGCAAAGATCAGGCGCTGCTGGTCGGGCGGGATGCCCTCCTTGTCCTCGATCTGCGCCTTCAAGAAGTTCATCGAGTCAGAGGCCGCGATGCGAAGCGTGATGGACTTGCCGGTCGGCGTCTTGACGAAGATCTGCATTGGCTTGGTCGAGACGGGCTTAAAGAACGACCGTACCGGCTTCGGGGCGGCAGAAGAGACCTTCGGCGCGAGGCCGGCGCGCTCCGCGTCCTCCGGCTTGCGGAGGTCGAGGAGCGTGAGGGCGCCGCCCATGCGGCGGCGCAGGTCGGCGATCTCGAGCAGCTTGTGCTGCGCGCCACCGTGGTCGTCGACCCGAGCGTTGCTGACGCCTGGTGCTCGATCAGCGTTGCTCACCAAGAGCGCCTGGTGCTCGACCGGCACTCGGAGCAGGGCCGCGCACCGCCCCTGCAGCGCCCCGATGGTCTCCTCCGGCGACACCGTTAAGGCCTGGCCGTTGACGACGATGAGCGAGGTCGGGACGAGGGACGGGTCGACAGAGGCGCGGATGCCGGACGTGAGGCGGAGTGAGCAGGTGGTGTCGTCGGTCAAATCGATGGCCTTCTTCATCAGCACCTCGACGCCGCCATCGGTCAGCACATCCACAACGAGCGTCTCTGCGCAACCGTTGATCAAGGTCTTCTCATCACCGGCGCGCTCGTCGTCGTATCTCAGCCAGATGTCCATCACTCCAACGGCGGACGCGCCGTCGTCGGCGAGGGGGACCATCGCACTGGACGCCATGAGCCGCAGGGCAGGCTGAAGCTGCGGGGCGAGCCCGGTGGCGCCGCAGATCTTGGTTTTGAGATCGTCCATTGTGCTTGCCGGGCTGAACGGCACGGAAATCTCGTCCTTTGGGGCCGGCGGAAGGAAGGAGTGGAGCTGGTGCGTGGAGACAGTGAGCATGCTTGAGCCTTGGGACCGTGCCCACCGCGCCGTCGCCCTTTGGGGGCAGAGCCCTTGGGCAGAGCCCTTGGAGCCCTTGCCGCGTCAGACAGAGGGGACATCGATTTCTTATTTTTGGTTCTCGAGTACGAGTACGCGGGCAGTTTCTTGGGAGTCGACCGTTTCATTTTCCTACGTCCGTGCCGCCGTCAGCGCGACGGTCAGCGCGATCTGGGCCCTCTCGCTCCGGCGCTGGGGCCTGCTATCGCTCGGCTCCAGCCTGCTCTACCTGTGGAACATCTCGACGCTCTCGAGCAGGCGGCGCAACAGCCCGTGCCCTGAGCACGGCCCGCTGCTGCGCATCATGTACGGCCTCTTCTCCACCTGGCTCGCCGAGCGCGTGCTCGGCCACCTGCTGGTGCTGCACACGCGGCCGGACGAGCCACAGGCGGAGCAGATCGGCGGCACGCTGCCTTCCGTGATGGGGCCGCGCGAGCTGCGCATCAAGGTGGTGCCGATCCTGGGCGCCCAGGTCTCGACCTCTTTCAGGTCTCGACCTCCTCTCGGCCTCCTCTCGGGACTCGGCCTCCTCTCGGCCTCCTCTCGGGGTTCAGGTGCCTGGCCACACGCTTGGATCTGCAGTCTTCCAGATCTCCTCGTCGGCCGCGCCGGCGGCGCCTCACGCCGCCATCACGGGAGACACCCTCTTCTGCGGCGGCTGTGGCCGCCTCTTCGAGGGCTCGTCGCTGCAGCTGCACGCGTCGCTCCGCCGGCTACGCACGCGATTGGCGCCAAACTGCCAGGCGGCACTCCTACTAGACCTCTTCCTAGACCTCTCCCTAGCCCTCTTCCTAGACCTCTCCTAGACCTCTCCTAGCCCTTTCCTAGCCCTTTCCTAGACCTCTTCTTAGCCCTTTCCTCGACCTTCTCCTAGATAGACCTCTCCTAAACCTGTCCTGGACCTCTCCTAGCCCTCTCCTAGCCCTCTCCTAGACTTCCTCCTAGCCCTCGGGCGCCACCTCACTCGACACTCGCCAGCCCCGCGCCACGCCGCCGCCAGGTCTTCTCTGGGCACGGGTACGCCGACATGCTGCTCACGAATGGCCGTGCGCAGCGACCCGTCCAAATGCGACCGTCCTCGCAGCCGACAGTCCACTGCCTGCTAAAGAATCACAGCGACGAATCGGCGACGCATGCAGGCTGGTCATGACGCAGTTATAGGGTGTGCCGTCAGAGGGACTCTCTGTGTGTCCCAGGGATAGTCAGGGCCGTCCATCAGAGCTCCAGTAAGCTCGGAGACACCCCATTAGCGCGGCTCGACCTCTTTGAGTCCGACTTCCTTCCCGGCGGTTTGGCTGTAGAGCCTCTACAACACTCTACAGTAAAATCGCGCTCTACATCGCTCTACAACGGAGGCGCTTCGTCCCGCGCCGGATGTAGAGCTCTACAGCTCTCAGCGCTCCAGTGTCCAGACACCAGAGCGCCGTCTACATCTCTACACGAGCTCTACAGCGCTCTACACTCTACATCCTCTACACCCTCCCTCAGCGTGTCGGCTGGAAGCAGCCAGAGCTTCGCCCTCACCGCCAACGGCGTTGTCTGGAGCTGGGGCGATGGAGGCTTTGGCAAGCTGGGCCACGGCGACCAGCAGAACCATCAATCTCGAACCGAAGAAGGTCGAGGCGTTGGCCGGCCAGCGCGTCGTCGCTGTGTCGGCTGGGAGCACTCAAAGCATCGCCACCACCGCCGAAGGTGCCGTCTGGAGTTGGGGCTTCGGAGGCGACGGCCAGTTGGGCCATGGCGACCCGCAGGACCAGCTGCTGCCCAAGAACGTCGAGACGCTGGCGGGGCGGCGCGTCGTCGCTGTGGCGGCTGGAGGTAAGCACACAGCACAGCATCGCCACCACCGCTGACGACGCCGTCTTTACTTGGGGCAAGGGCGAACACGGCTGCCTAGGCCACGGAGAGGACCTGTCGAACCAGCTGCTACCCAAGAAGATCGAGGCGTGGGCGCCGGGGCAATGAGGTATCGAGGGCTCTGTACGCCGACCGGCTTTTAGTGGCTCATCTGCACTAGAGGAGCTTGTTGGAGCCAGCCCGCGTGGTTCGGCGAGGTGTGTGAGCATGCGTCGCCAGAGCGTTACAGACTGAGGCGCGAGTGAGTCCGGTCATGAGTGCTGCGTCGTGTGTGGGCCCTGGGCGGACGCGGAATGCTCCATCGCAGTGACCAGTGACCAGTGTGTCGTCCGCGGTGGATCGGCGAGTACGTCTTAGAAAGTTTACGTTACTCCCCCATACCTTCCATCCACGCATCCACCCTCTACCCATGCCCAAGGTACTCCGTCCGAAATCGAGTCCATACACACACAACTGCGCACGTTGGTGCGGCGCTGGGCTCACGCGTGAAGCGTGTCGATCGAAGTCAAGAGCGACACGCAGCAACGCCTGCTCGTCGTGATCGCCGGCTGCTCTCTCCTATAGCTCCGCGAGCCCCCGCGCCGCGACGCCTGCACACGAGGCGGCGGCGGGGCGGGGCGGGGTGAGGTGCTCAGATGTGTGGTCCAAGGGGTGGTCCGGAGGGCGATCACAGCTCGCAGAGCACAGCCTCAGATATTCTCAAACTGCTGGTGTGTGATCCTCACGGGGGGTCCCCCGGCGCAGAGGGGCCCCCGCCCTGGGAAAGCACAACCGCTCCACGCCACGCCACGTGGAGGGCCCTCCACGCCACGCCGCTTGCGCGGTCCTATTGCCAGCTCCGCATTTTGGGCTACATGGGCGTGGGCTCAAATTGGTGGGCCGCGCTGCTCGACGGTCCACGCTCACGCTCCGACCGGACCTCCCGGCTGCGCGCCTGCACTGCTCGCGCGGCGAGGCTGACGAGCGCCGCTGGCAAGCATCGCGCCGCCCGACTGCTCCTCGATGCCGCGCTGAGGGCGCGCCAGGCGGCGACGAGTCGCGGCGAGCTGCTGGTTGTGGCTCGGGCGCTGCTCCGCGCCGTCGCCTGCGCGCGTGGCGATGCTCCCCTGCAGCGGAGCGCGAGGGAGCGGCTCGCGCTCCTCCTCTGCCAGGAGGGGCTGGCGTCGGAGGCGGGACTCGATGCGCTCCTCGCTCGCGGCGGCTACTCGCACCGCCTCGCCTCGCACTGCCTGAGGTACGAGGAGGAGGAGCCCGCGCCGAGCGCCGCCGGCCGTGCGGCGGCTATGGCGTGGCACTGCCTCGCCCGGCCCGTGCCACCGCCTGTGCCACCGCCCGGCGGAGGAGCTAGAGGAGGAGCCTTCGTGGCGTGCCTCGAAGGCGAGATGCAGCCGAGATGCAGCCGAGATGCAGCCGAGATGCAAGGTGTAGCAGAGGTGCAACCGAGATGCAGCCGAGGTACGTACGGCACAATTTAAGGTGCATCTCCGAGATGCAGTTGCGATGCAGCCGAGGTGAAGATCACATTGCACTGCATCGGCAGGCGCGTTGCCCCGTGGAATGGTGGGCAGGCTCGCAGCTGCACTGGGCCCGTCCTCCCCTTTCTGGGCCTCGCACGGGTACATCTGCGACGGTGTGTCTGCGTCCTTCGGCCGCACCTTTGCCGCACCTCTCCTACCTCGGCTGCACCTCGGCCGCGCCTCGGCTGTATCTCGATCAATCTCGGCTGCACCTCTGCCGCACCGCCACATATGCGTACGACTCCCCTCGCCATATATGTCTCCCCATCTCTCCCCATCTCTCCCCATCTCTCCCCATCTCTCCCCATCTCTCCCCATCTCTCCCGCCAAAGGCGTCCGGCTCGCCTCGCCCTTCTTCTCGTACGTGCACTCGCTGCGAGGCCGCGCACCCTACTGTCTGAATACGTATTCCACGTATTCCAAACGACGTCCAAAAGGGCTGTATTCTGCCCGGATTCGCAGGGTTCCGACCGTATTCCACACGTATTCCAGAATACGTATTCCAAACGAGGCCCAAAAATGGACGCGTATTCCGTGTAACATTTTCCTCGCTCCGCGTATTCAGACAGAAGGCCGAGCACCCGCCTCGGCCTGTGCTGTGGGCCGTGTCCCGGACATGACCGGGACATGTCCTATCCAGATCTCGTAGGCCCGCCCGCCTCCGGCCTCGACCGCGCTATCCGGCGGCTGCAGCGGCTCGCCGCGGCGGCGATGCCCGAGGTGGCCGAGGCAAGTTCTCGCCGAGATTCCGCCGAGATCCAGCCGAGAGATAGCCGAGATGCGATGCCCGAGGAGGCCGAGGCGGGTCGCGCCGAGATGGTATGGGCAATTCCCACCCGCCTTCCACACACCCTCTGAGCACCTTCCTGTAGGCGGGTCACGCAGAGTGGTGGGCGCACTGCCGACCGCACGCCACGGGGCACCAGGCCGAGATGTAGCCGAGATGTAGCCGAGATGCAGCCGAGGTGCAGCCGAGGTGCAGCCGAGGTGCGGCCGAGGTGCAGCCGAGATCGCCTGCCCCTCGCTGCAGATGCACTTTGACTCGGCGGACGAGGGGCGCGGCGCCAGAGGGCCGCGGCACCCGCTCGTCTCGTGCGCCCTCTTCCTCACCTCGTCCGCCGGTGGGCCGCCCGTCGACTCACACAAATGCACCTCCCCCGGGGGCCGAAATGCCACGACAGGCCAGTGGCAGTCAGACACGCAACACGGGGTCCCAGGGAGGGCGAGCAAACCTCATCGCGAGCGCACAGACGCGCCTCGGAGGCCGCAGCTCACCGGCCACACGCCTGGACCCAAGAACGGACTCGTTGATCGGTCTCTATCCCTCGCTTGGCCGAGCGCCCTCATACATTGACCACTCACCCGATTCTCCTCCCAACCTGTACCCTCTTCCTCCCCTCCCCGCCCTCGCTCCATCTAGCCTCGGAATTTGCTCCCAGTCTCGACGCGTCCTCACTGTCTCCAGTGCCGTTCAGGAGAGTGGGAACCTCTGACGGTTGATTGGACCCGTCGATTGTCCGTCTGTGAGCTGTGTGCTGCGTGTCCAGCAGTCCGGACCCGGTGCTACGGCGGGTGACAGCGTGTCTCGTGTCGGCTCCCGAGCCAATCGTGTGCAGCGTGTGTGCGCGCGTGGGCCCGTCCTCCATGCTAGGAGGTGTGTCAGACTGGCTGGCTGACTGATTGTCCTCAGGCGGACCCACCCTCGTCACCGACCAGACGCCTCGCTGCTCCTCCCTCGCTAGCTCCGGCTCTCTCGCCCGCCCCTCCTCCGCGCCACCCGGCAACCAGGCCCTTCCCCCACCCGTTTCGGAGCCCTCCTGCAGGCTACGCCGCCCTCCCGCGCGCCAACCGGCTCCTCCTCTTCGGCGGATCGATGCTGCATGGCGCTGCTGCCTTGGCGAGGAGCCCCTCCTTGCTCCCCTCTCTCGGACCCGTCTGAGGCCTCTCCTAGGCGTGGTGCCCGGCCGCGGGGCGAGGGGCGGCGCCGCCCGCGTCTCGCTGATGGTCGCCTTCTGGCCCTCGCTCGAGGCGAGGGAGGCGGCGGAGCCAAGCGCGGCGAGGCCCTTTCCGTACGGCGGTGCGCCAGAGTGGGCTCCTCTCTTCGACTGGCCTGAGGAGGAGGACGGGGATGGCGCCACGGGGGGCGGAGGGGGTGAGAGCGAGGGCCGGGAAGGTGACTCGACCCGTCCGGCGCCGCTCCGGCTCGTCTCCCCGATCTGGCAATCTGTGCAGGGAGGGGGAGCGCCAGCGGCGGGGCTGCGCCGGATGCCTCCGTACGAGGCCTGCTTTCAGGGCTTCTAAAGCTCCTCAGCGACCCCGCGAGCGATCCGCGACGCGCGTGCCCGAGTACGCGAATACGAAAGCCTGCTGATTGTTTTGTGACAAAACTCCTTGTCCCCAGGCGCAGTTATTGTTATGGTGTTATGGCTCTCGGGGCATAGCAGCCCATAACAATCATGTTATGGGTTGTATTGGGTGTTATGGGGCCGGCCCCATAACACCCATAACACCCATAACATGTTATGGGCTGCTATGAGAGAGCCGTCCCGGATCCACGGTGTTATCGGGCCCGAGACGCAAGCGAGGCCACACCGAACTGCTCGCCGCTGGAATTTCGTTTCGCGCGCTGCCGCGCGCGAGTAAATAAAAACGGACACCTCTACTGTGAGAGATGGGTAAAAAGGAACAGGTCCCGCGCGCGAGGTTCGGTCGGCATCGATCGCCAAATATTTTCTCTTTTGCCCTCAACTTAAATTCAATAACACGCGTTCAGGGGAGCCGCCACTTCCAACGTGCCGAACAGGGGCGGGTTTTCCACCGCCAACTCCTCCACCGGATCCCTGCCCTTTTTCTTCCCCGGCCCTTCCCCCCCCCTCCCCCTCCTCCCCCCCCCCCCCCATTATCAATCATATGAACGTTCATATGAAAACTTGCACATGTCCATATGCGTCCCGAACCCATACTGTGACCTGGTACCATATGCGACAAGGTCACAGTATGGGTCCGGGACCTGTTCACACCAGTGTGATGGTAGGGGACCCCCCTGGGCCCTGGAGTGTGAGTGTGGATTTCTTTTTCCAGGGCTGGATTTCTTCTTCGGTCATATGGAGCTCGCAAGGGGGGGTCGGAGGCGCGAATTGGTGCAGGCCATCGGGTCGGAAGTTCCGACGGATAGCTGACCTCGCGAGGGGGGGGGGGGGGGGGTCAAATGCCTGAGTCCCCCACCGAGGCCACCGCTGAGGCCCACCAACCACTGGGGCCACCACTGAGGCCACCACTGAGGCCACCACAGGCCCACCAACCACTGGGGCCACCACTGAGGCCACCACTGACTGAGGCAGGCCACCACTGAGGCCCACCAACCAACCACTGGGGCCACCACTGAGGCCACCACGGCCACCGAATGCACCAGATGTTACCAAATCGCACTTCCACCAAATGTGCTATGATGCTACCAAATGCGGCCTGCGATGCCCGGTGTTTTATTTAGCTTTTAGCTTCTCTCTCGAATGTCTGTTGCTAAAACAATTAGGGGAAAATGCAGTTTACTACGTTTTGAGCTTTTCTCTTGGCAATTTGACCCGAATTACGTAATATATATATTCGGGTCAAATTTTACGTAATTCGGGTCAAATTGCCAAGAGAAGAGCTCAAAACGTAGTAAACTGCAATTTCGCCCAACCCAATTACTGCATATCATGTATTGCGAAGCGGATCCCAAGGGTGTGGCGCTACCATCGTTGGGATAGCTTCACATGCGCGAAAATGAAGGAGGGAATCGTTGTTGGATGCCTGCTCAAGGTTGTCGCAATGGCGAGCGATGACGAGGGATTCACGCTCAGCGTGACGAGCAAGCTCAGGGAGTTTACGGCGCTCGGATACCCCTCACACGTGCTTAATGGGGCTATCGGGCGCGCGTTTGCCCGGACAAGAGACGAGCGGCTCCTTCGGGCCAGACTATGTTCACAACGGTGGGAGGCCAACCTCTAGCCATGTGAACCAAAAAGAAAAAATATATTCTCAAAGCCAGTCAGAGCACCGTCCAAAGGCGGGTGCTGTCGACTAAGGGACAATCTTGTCTGTCGACAGCCGAACTTGTGATGGGACACCCTCGGAATCCAACTGCGTACTACTTGGCTAGCACGCTATTGGCATACCGACGGCTAAGGCCGAAATCGGTTCACACCTGCTCTTGCAGGTGTGAACACAAAGGATTCGCTGTATCTACTCAGCTGCTCCGCTTACACTTGCCTGTGAAGTGTGAACAGCGGATTTTGAATCAGCGTTCTCCTCGAACGATATCGGTGTCGAAACACCGCTCTGACAGCGCTCACAGCTGAGCTAGGCCACCCTCGCTTGAAGCGCTCTCCAGCCGTGAGCGGGCAGGGTGGTGAACAAATAGAAGCATGTCTCGCTGGTCATCATTGGGTGTTCTGCTCGCCTCCGCGTTGAACGCGACCCCGATGCACGCGGCGGCCCAGCGAGACGACGCCTTGACGAGCACGGCGACCCCGCCGCACGTCGCCGCCGTGCGAGGCCAGGCAGCAGCAGCGCGCCCGCTGCTACAGCATCACGCCTTGGCGGCGCGAGCAGACGCCCAGGGCAACCTGACATGTGCCAACTGCGGGCTCAACCAGAAGACGTCGACCACCTCCTGCTGTCACGTGCCCGGCAGCTGGCTAAACAGATGCGCAACGACCGGAAATACGAACGCGAGTCATCCCTACACGTGGAAACAGGGCGTCAAAGCCTGCCAGGGGCGGGCCAAGCCACTCGTCGGTGCCATGCCCCGCCTCGGATTTAGAAACTACGTCTTCGTGCCCGACGCGGCCGCGATCCCGGTGAGCGCGACGGCTGAGCCCATATAGTCGGTGCAAGGTAGGCTGAAACTCCGCACGTAAATTCAGGTGGGTGGCGCTCAGTCGTTCGCTTCATCGCAACGATGCAGGCCGGGCGCCTGCCGGAGCGTGGTCCACCTCGCGCTCACGACACCGCCCACACGGCTAGAATCAACAGGCGAGGCGGTGCTCCGCAGCTGGGCGTGCCTGATGCGCGATACGCAGCTGACAATCCACGTTGCGTACACGCCGCCGCAAGGGGAAACACCCGGCTGGCTGCCCGCAAATTTTAGTCGCGACTTGAGCAGGGTGCAGAGCGAGCTCAATACGCGTTTTGTTATCCAGCCCTTTGATATCGTCTCCCAGCTGCGCAACGTCATCGGAGAATATGAGACGGCAAACACGTCGACGCAAGAGGCGCTTGCGTTTCTCACGCGCCTCCCTGATTTTGCCAGAGATCGATCACTCGATGAGGCGTTTGCTACTGGTGATAGTGGAGCTCACGTCGAAAACGAGAGGATGCGATACAAATTGTGGCCCATTCATTCCAGCGATCTAATCCGCTATGTCCTGCTATATCGCTTCGGAGGCTTCTATACCGACTGGGATATCGTGTTGGTGAAACCGCTGCCGCATGCATGGCTGGACAGCGGGTTCATTGGCTTCCAGACAGGGCCTGACGAGGGCAATATCCATGCTAAACTTGCACATCATCGGATAAATGGCGCAATCATGGGCACCCCCCCTAGACATCCTTGGATCAGGGCCTGTATCCAAGAGTTCATACGCATATACCCAGTAGTAGGCTCGACACCTGGTCCAAAATTTGGTCTATACGGTCCTATGCTCATCACGCGCGTCACTCATCGTGGGGAATGGGACACCCAGGGGCTGACAATACTACCCGCGCACGTGTTTCAACCGCTGGCTGCAGGGCGAAGGACGCGGGCTTGTATGGACGAAGGCTCTTTCCCACACCTTAGACCTGCGCTTCGGCGCTCGTACGCGGTGCATCTGAACAACAATGCTGGGAACAAGGGGCGCAGCCCAAGCAACGGGTCGCTTTGTGCCTGGTTATTTGGACGGACAGTGTCATCGAAGTCGTGCTCTAATAAATTTAAAGGAGCGCGGGATGCTTTGGCTACTCAAGCAAATTGATGATCAGGTCTGTCAGTCACATACATACATGTTACATCGCGCGCCCGTAATTCTTTTTTCGACGGCTCTCGTTTTTCTTTCCTGCACAACCGCTTCGTTTCTGCTTAGCACTGACCCTTTTTCTCCCTCACTCTCAGACTCAGACGACTCAGACATCCCACAAACGTACGCGTCAGCTCCCATTCGCAAAGGCTTTGCCAAAGGGAGACTTCATCCCAGCCACCACAGTGTAGTGAGGGTTTCCGTGAGGCGGCGTGAGCGGCGTCCCTGGCGACGCGGGCTGGCTCCACCGGCCCGATTCGCACTCACCGCCAGTCGCGTTGGTCGACCCAGCAGAGCATCGGCTCAAATCGGACGATCCGGCAGGTTGGCCCTCACGCTGGTCCATTCTGTCTGTCGTCTGCACGCAGAGCGGGTCGGCACCGGGTGGGCTCGCTAGCCTTGCCCCTGCGACTGCCGCCTCACTCTGCGGCGGCGTCTGTGCCAGGAGCGTCGCCGCAAGCGCGCCCTCACTCTGCGTTGGCGAGGGAAAGGTGGAGGCACAGCCCCGCTCCGCGGGCTCGCCTCCCCCGAACGCCTCGGTCAGCGCGCGCCTTGCGTCGGTGTCGCGGGGAAGGCGCTCTCCCTCAGCGGCGCTCGAGTGCCCGCCCCAGCCACCCCCGCCGCCGTCGCCGCCGTTCGCTCGACTCCGTGAGCCGCCGCGGCTGTTGCGCCTCGTGTGTTGCGCAGGGGCGTCGTTGACGAGAGCGCCGCGTCGGAGGCTGCCGACGCCTCGCTGCCGACGCTCTGCGGGGGGAGAACTCTCTCCGTCAGTGCTGTCTCCACTCAAGCTGCCTGCAATGATGCTCCCGCTCTGCTCAGGCGACCTCCCGCTCGCCGGCTGCGCGGACACGCCGTCCCGGCCCGCCTTGCCAACCGCATGCATCGCGATGCCGGACTCTGCGCTGCGCGGCGGCGGCGGCGGGACTTCTGACGTCTCTGCAAAAGAGCGCGGGTACCCCGTAGAGGGCGGCGGGTGCATCCCCGTCGCAGACCGTGGCGGCGGCCACCACGAAGAGGAGGAGGCGGCTGCCGTGGCATCCGGGAGCGCCGACGCCGCGCCGCGTGGCCGATCTGGGCCCGCCGAGGACGATCGGCCGCCCTCGGTGTCCGACGTGGTGTCGTCCTCGACGAGCTTCACGAAGCCCCACTGCAGCAGCGGCGGTGTCGCGTGCCGCGTGAAACTGCGGCTGCCGGGCGGCGCGTTGCAAAAGACGCCGGCAGTGGCGGTGGGCATGACACGGAAGGACTCGTCCGCGCGGAAGGACTCGAGGCGCAGACTCCCACGGCTGTCCCGCGAGTCGCGAGGTCTCGCCGCCTCGAGGGGGTGCCGGCCGGGCGAGCGGCGGGGGGAGGGCATGCGGTCGGTCAGCAGCTGCGCACGGTCGCCATGCGACGCGTAGCGCTTCATGCGCGCGCGGTCCCACTCCTCGGACCGTCCCTTGGACCCGCGTCGCTCGTGGCGCGGCACATGCGGCCGCTCGTCGCGGCCCTGTACGGAGCGGGGGGCCCGGGTTCGGGTACCGTGGGGTAGGGGAGGGTGGGTTCGGGTACCGTGGGGTAGGGGAGGGTGGGTTCGGGTACCGTGGGGTAGGGGAGGGTGGGTTCGGGTACCGTGGGGTAGGGGAGGGCGGTACCTGCGATCGGCGTACCACGCTCGCGTGGACGCGTGTGCCGAGCTTGGCGGCGCTCGAGTGCATCGTGCGCAGGTAAAGCCAGAGGGTGAGCCGGCAGAGGAAGGAGAGGCCCGAGCCGAGCGCCATCAGTTGCGCGATGAGCTCGATGAGCGTGCGGACGAGGGTGACGCTCAGCTTGTACTCCTGTTCGAGCGGCCGCAGCCGAATCGACAGCGCCACGCGCCCCTCAGTACCGTCGATCGGATCGACCTGCTCCGCCCGTACCGTCCCGCCGACGGTGGCCGCGATGTACTGGAGCTGGAAGCCGCGCGCGTGCGTGTTGTTGATCGAGTTCTCGTAGACGGTCGGGACGAGAGCAAGCGTCACCTCGGAAGGGCGGGCGAGATTAACCGAGATTGCCCGAGATGACCCGAGATGGCCCGAGGTTGTCACACCTCGGAAGGGCGGGCGCCACGCAGCAGCGCGTCGGGCGGAGGGCGAATGGAGGCGCGCAGCGAAGAGCGTCCATCGATGGGCTGGCGGCGCGACCAAGCGACAGAGGCCTCCCACGTGATCTGGTGCGCAAACGCGAAGCGGCCCGAGAGGTCGAAGCGGACCTGCGCCTCGGCCGTCTCGATGTGGCACTCTGCGCAGCGGTACGTGATGGCGCACGCGCTGTCGCCCGGGCCTGTGGAGCGCTGGAACGTGCACGACACGTCTGCACCGTTGGCCGGGAGTCGCATTCCAAGCGCGGCCACCGCGATGCCGGCGGCGCAGGCGCCAGACTCACCCGGCGGCGCGTGCGGCAGGACGCACTGCTCCGCCGTGTAGCCGAGGGCGGTGAGCCGCGCGTCAAAGGTCGCGGCGGTGACCGAGTAGTGCTCCGAGGGGGTGGGGATGAGCGAGGCCGAAGTGTGCTCGTTGAAAAACAGGAACTGCAGGATGAAGGCCAGCGCGAAGGAGGCGTAGAAGAAGGCGTACGCGATGGTGAAGAGCCCGCCCGCGCGCGAGTTGCCTGGCCCGCCAGAGATGGGCGGCACCTGAGGGAGCGGGGGGGGATGGAGCGGGCCCACACGGCATGTGCATCAGACAAGGGCGTCGGCCCCTTGGGGTGAAGGGGACCTTCTGCCCCCTAGGTCCCCTTCACCCCTCTCCCTCCCCCTCACCCCTCTCTCCGCCACCCCTATGCTCTGCCAGGGAGCGTGCGGGCGGGGGCGGGCGGCACGTCTGCACGTCGCAGCATGAGCTCGGCCATGCGGGGGCGATAGAGCGCAGTCAGCCCGAGCACGACGACAAAGGAGAAGAACGAGAGGCCTCCCAGAGTGGTGATGACCAGCTGCGCGCGCGCGAGGGACTGGTCCGTCGAGGGGGCGCGCCTCGCTGCCTGCGGGAAGAAGTCCGACGAGACCGAGCCCACAAACCACGTCGCGTTGGACGGGGCTGGCGCGGTGCCGGTGGGGTGGCTCGGCAACGACAACGGGTCGAGTGGGTGGGAGGAGCCGGCAGGGCAAGCCTCGGCCGCGCCGCAGGGAAGGCAGGAGGCGGCGCCAGCCTCGGGGGAGTAGCTCCCCGAGGGGCAGAGGCGGCACGCCCGCCAGCTAGTGGCGCCGGGCTCGCTAGAGAAGGTGCCCGCCGGGCAAGCCAGGCACGTCGACGCGCCGGGCTCCGTCGTCAGCCACCCCGCGGGGCACAGCTGGCAGACGTCGCCCCGGCCACCAGCGGCCCCTCCATCAACAGCCGAGGCGGGGAGCGCGCGGGTGCCCGCGAGGCAAGGCACGCACGCCAGCAACTCCGTCAGCCGCCCCTCCCCCGCTGGCTCGCCGCCGCCCGCCGTCCCATTCGTGGCGAACGCGGGCGCCGACGCGGCGGCGCAGTTCGGAGGCGCGAGGCGGACGAACGGCTCCGGCCTCGACGACGCCAGGGGCGCGTTGACGGAGGTGCCAAACCTACGGCGGGACGACGCCAGCCTCGGGGCGGGAGGACGGTGCCGTGCAGAGTCGTTCAGAGCACCGCGTGAAGACACGGGCTGCGAGTACAAGGAGTACCACGGGAGACGGCGGAGTGCAGCGGAAGGGGCGTGTCCCTCTTGGAGGCTGGCTGGAGTGCAAGAACACGGATTCCGCTTCTAGGGACGCCGCTGCCCAGCTGCCAACACGAGATATGGGGAGATATGGGGGAGATACGGGGAGATCTTCCGCTTCTAGGCTTGCCAGGCCCGGAGAGGCCGCCGTAGAGGAGGAGATTGGTCGAGCCAAAGAGCGGCACCGCCGTGTGGCGGGAGCGGCCGAGGAAGAGCCTCATGCGCGAGTCGCTGAGGGGCCGCAGCTCGGCCCACTGCGTTCCGACCACGGTCGACACGTGCAGCGCCCACAAATCGTTCAGCGTCTCGCCCTGCGCGTCCACACCCCCAAAGACGAGCATCGCCTCGCCGACGGCGGTGGCGGTGTGGAAGGCACGCCCGCGCGGCGGAACCGCCGCCTTCACCGCTCTCCATTCGCCCGTCGCCGCGTTCACCTCCCACACATCCGAAGACACGCCGGAGCGAGAGCTCTGATCGCCCTCGCGCGCGCGCGCAGACTCCCGCACGCCGCCGTAGACAAACGCGCGGTCGCCAAAGGCGACAGCGGTGTGGCCGTACCGCTCCGCCGGCTGGTCGTCGCCCTGGACGGCGTCGGCGCGGTCAGCGACGCGGACAGCCAGCGGCTCCCACCGCACGGTGCCATCGGCGGAAGGCGGCAGCCACAGCCGCCAGACGTCGCGGAGCACGATGCCGCCGCCGCCGCCGCCACCCCCTGGCTCGCCGCCAAGGGAGGCGTCTGCGGCGATCTCGCTCAGCCCGGCGACGAGGAGGAGCGCCTCGACAGGTGAGACTACCCGAGATTACCCGAGAGTATCCGAGATGGCCCGAGATGACGGGCGACGAGGAGGAGCGCCTCGCGGGATGCGCCGCCACGGCTCCCCACCGCCTCGTCGTCGGCGGGTAGTGACACCGCAACCATGGCGTGGTGCCGGCGAGGCGATGGCGACGAGCCCGCGGGGAAGAGGCGCCTAAACAAGAACCACCGCCCCTAAACAAGGAATCCCCCGCGCGATGGCGACGAGCCCGCCGGGGGAAGACGCGCCGCCAGACTGGGCTGGGCGCCTCCGCCGCCCCCGCCGTCCCATCGGCCGGGCCGCCGCCCCGTCCGCTGCCTGTCGCATCGCCGGCGCGCTCTGCTGTGGCCGATGCAGCGAGCGGACGCGAAGAGGGGCGACCGAGAGAGATCTCCCAGAGGTCGTTGAGATTTTGCGTCGGCGCAGAGCCGGGGCTGCGCTCGTCGGCCCTCGACAAGCCTCCAAACAGCAAGGCGAGACCGCTGCCCGCCGCCGTGAGGGTGTGGGCCTCGCGCGGTGCCGGCCACATCCCGGCAGCAAGATCGGTGGGGAGCGCCGCCCGAGGAGGGGCGGCGGACCAGTTCCTGTCGGCACCGGCCACCGGACGCGGCGGCTGCGGCGGCAACACATCCGGCCCGAGCAGCCGCCAAGTGCGGGAGGGGACGTGCAGCGCCCAAAGCTCCGCCGACGGGCGTGCGGCGGAGAGGACTAGGCCGTCGCCGGCGCCCTCGGACGGCGGCTGGCCGTGCTGGAGTGAGCCTCCAAACATGAGCATCAGGTCGCCCCGTGCGTGGCGGGAGGAGACCAGCGCAGCGCCATGCGAGTGGCGCGGTGAGGGGGCCGCGCTTCCCGCGGGCACGCAGTAGGGGCGAAGGAGGGGCGCGTCAGCCTCGAACGTTGAAAGGGTGAGGTCGGAGGCGCCGTCCCAGCCGAGCAGCGAGACGTGGTAGGACGCCCGCGGCGGCGTCCCGCGCAGGTTGCCGCGCAGTGTGCAGCTCGACACGATCAGCTCGTACGGCCGCCCGGCAGAGTGCTGCTTCTCATCGATTTGCTCCGTTGGCACGCCCGAAGGCGCGGTCGAGCCGAAGAGTTTGAGCCCGAAAATGCAGGCACCGTCCTCGGCCGCGCCCTCAGCGCACCGCAGCCCTCGAATCACCTCGGCCCGCACGATGAGCGGTGTGTCGCCAGAGATGCCAGAGACGACACCCTGCCACGACTGGCCGCTGGAGAGGGTCATGTTGATCGAGGCGCCCACAAGCATGGCCATAATTTCCTTCCTTCGACGAGCCAGGGCAGCCGAACTAGCGCCCAAGGGGTCCCCTCTAAGTCGAGGTGTTTCACGGCCATCGCGCAGAGCGCAGATTGTGAATGAGCTTGCCAACGAACGGCGAGGGCGGTCGAGTGCACGGAGCTAAGTGCCTCGCCGTCCTCGCCGGAGTCGCTTAGGCGGCTCCAGTGGTGTACCTGTGTTAGTGCCAGTGGTGTACCTGTATTAGTGCCAGTGCGCGCCAGTCCCGTGCCCAGTCCTGTGCCCAGGGAAAATTCTTTTGCGTTCTGAAATTCTTGTGGGTCGGGCGGCGCTTCCTCGGGCACGGCAGCGGCAGCGGTGGACGCGCCGCTGCTCGGCCAGCGCCTCGTGCTCGGCGGGCTCTCTTCCCGTCCCGAGCTGAACGGGCAGCGGGGCGTGGCGGGGAGTTTCGAGGACGGCCGCTATCTAGTGGCGCTCGAGGGTGGCGGCGAGAGCGTGCGGGTGCGGCCGGGTAATCTGTCGCCGGCGGCGGCGGAGCGGGCGTCGAGTAGTGCCGCGGCAGCCCCGAAGCGGTCGTGGCAGCAGCTGAGCGTGGCGAGGAGGAGGCGGTGCTGGCTTGGCTTGAGGGCGGCGGGCTGGCCGACGCGACGTACGAGAGAGGCAAGGTGAGCGGCATCACGCTGCTGATGGGCGCCGCCCGCAATGGCCACGAGCGGGTGGTCGAGCTGCTGCTGCGGCACGGCGCGGAGCTCAACCTGCGGAACAGCATCGGCATCACCGCGCTGATGAGCGCCGCCTTCTTCAACCGCCTCACCGTCGTGCGGCGCTTGCTGCGGGCGGGCGCAGACACGACGCCTACCTTTGACGGCAAGACGGCGCTGCAGATGGCCAAGGAGGAGGGCCACGCCGAGTGCGTAGTGTCCAGACGCTGTCTAGCCTGTATAAGTGTTGACTCATACTCAAGAAAGAAGGTATGATTTGAGTTGTATCTATAGAGAGAAGAGAGTGTTTCTTGCTTGCGCGGTTGCACACAGAAGGTGTGCAAGGTCTAGGTAGAGCGGGGGGGCCCGCCGGAGGCGAGTTACTGATAGATTAGGACGCTGTGGGCCCTCAATCATACACAAGAACAACACAACCCCCTCTCCCTCTTCTCCCAGTAAGCTAAAAGTACGGTCAGTCCCAGCGCGAGGTAATGAACGTCGGTGCACGCCACGGTGGTGCGCATACATCATGGTGAACGTCGGTGCATGTGTGTGCGCCACCCGTGGTTTGCTATGCGGAAGCTGTTCCGCTCAGACGATCTGGCGAGCCTGCGTCGCCGACTCTTCGCCATTCGACGGCTTCGTCGTTGAAGAGGAGCCGCGGGTCTGCGTCACTCGAGCGTGAGTGACGCGGCTCACGCGCGACTGGGCCGTCTGCTTGGTTGCGCCAAGCGCGTTTGCGAGGAGAGCGAGCGACACCTGCCGGTGCGGGCCCGAGTGGCAGCCGACGGCGAGGCTGTCGTACAGCCCATCGGCAATCAGGTCGCGCGGCGTCACCTCGAAAAAGTGGCCAAAGATGCAGCCGTTGCGGACGGCGTCGTTCTCGTGCGCCATGACGATGGGCAGCCTGGCCTCGCGCGCGGAGCGCACCTGCTCTGCGAGCGCCTCGGCGCCATCGCCGGCCCACGTCGACCTGTTCAGGTAGAGCAGCATGTGCGTCGCCTCGTCGCCGTCGCCGCCGCTGTCGCTCGAGCGAGGCAGCGAGGAGAGGCGCGAGGGCGTCGCGTCGGTGATCGAGAGGCCGCCAGCGATGGCCGCCACGACCGCGTCGGCGAGGTCTCGCGCCCCGGCGTTCAAAGTCGAGGCCCAGAGGACCACCGGCTTGGGGAAGGCGAGGTGTTCGGCTCGGACCTCGCCCGGGATGCACAGGGGCAGCTCGTCCTCGCCCGCGTACTTTGGCGTCTTCAGCAGCAGCGCCTCGGCGATGACCTTGAGCGAGACGTGCTGGAAGTCCTCGATCCGATGCCACACCGCCATCGGCCAGCCGGCGTCGAAGATAGCAGCCTGCAGGTCCTCGGGGCATTCGGACCGCAGCTCGGCGAGCGTGCCTCCGCCCTTGTCCGGGTCTGCCTCGTGGACGAGCACGAGCGGCTTGCCCTTCTCCAGCGCGGCACGGATCTCTCGCAGGCAGTTCGTCGAGCGCAGGTAGCCCCGCGAGAGGAAGCAGAGCACCACCTGCGAGCGTCCAATGTACGCCTCCAGCTCTCCGATGTTTTTGAGGTCGTCGACGTCGAGGAAGATCTCGCAGCCGGGCAGGAACTGCAGAAGCTCGTTCTTGATGACGGCGACGGCGTCCTGCGAGAGTGGAAGGTCAGTTCACGTAAGTTTCTCTCCACACACAGAGCTGGGGCAAGGGGTGGCAAACCTGCCCCGTGCTCCAGACGTGGCTGAGGAAGAGGTGCCACTGCTGGCCGTCGGCGAGGGTGATGCCATCGCGCATCGGCTCGCGCTTCGACGAGACGAGCCGCATGGTCTTCGCCCTCGCGGCGCTGACCGTCGATACGAGGATGATGGCTATTGAGACGGCGAGCATAGCGGCGGTGAGGACGACGACAAAGATGGTGGCGCTGCGCGAGGTCTTGTAGCCAACGAGCTTGTAGCACATGTCTTCGTACTCGGTGCTGTCGCAGAGCTGCGGCGGCGAGGGGGCGGGGTGGTGAAGTTGTGCGGACGCGGGAGAGAGGGGTGGCGAGTTGAAAGGGGCGCGGACCTGGATGACCACTCCCGACGCGAAGCAGCAGGTGAGGAGCAGGTTGGCGATGCACGCGAGGCAGAGGTCGTCGGAGCGCCGGTAGGGGCGGGCGAGCGCTAACAGAGTGAGAAACGTGGCCGAGACGATGGCGGCGACCACGGTGCGCTGCAGCTTCCTGGAGCCGTACTCCTGATCGATGAAGAGCACCATCGAGGTGAGGAAGATCTTGCGGAGCAGGTCGAGCACCTCCCAGAAGAGGAAGCGGGCAGAGTAGTCTCGCCAGAGGAAGCTCGTCGCACGAGAGAGCGGCGTTGCGCGCTGCGCAGCCACGGGCTTGCGGACACGGAGCAGCAGCGCCATGAAGCCGAGCGGCACGAGGACGGGCCAGAGGGCGAAGAAGGCCCAGAAGTACGGCGCGAGTCCGCTCGTCTCGTCGTCCCACGTCGGCCCGGCGTCGCACGTGAGCGACGGGTCGGCGAGCAGGTAGCTGATGCGCTGGCCTGTGGCGTCGTCGTAGCCAAAGGACTCGCACAGCCTCGCGCTGAAGATGGAGCGCGAGACGGAAGGCAGCACCAGGTAGAAGGTGAAGATCGCCCAGTAGAGCACGCGGGCAACGAGGTTGCGGTCGAATGTCTGCTTGTTGTTGAGGACCGCCGCCACCGCCACAATGGCGAGCGATACGAAGGCGACGGCGGCGTACGGCCAGATGCCTGCGACGAGCAGCCGCTTGCTCATGGCTCCGATGCAGCTGCCGGGGATGGCGACGCCAAACAGGTCCAGGCTGAACAGCTTGAGCACGTCGAGCCAGCGCGTGAAGTGCTCGTCGAGGCGGACGCCGTAGACGAGGCCGAGGATGCTGCTCACCTGGTAGAAGCCGACGACGATCTTGAACTTGGGCTGCAAGCCGACCTCGGACTCGATGCGGGCGGCCCGCCTTCGGAGGCGGCGGGAGAAGGGGAGGCGACGGAGCCCAGCGTAGGCGGCGGCGAGCCCAGCGATGCCGATGACAAAGCCGAGGAAGACGCCAGTGGAGCGAGCCGTCGAGGGGCAGGCGACGCAACGCCCCTCGGCAGAGCTAAAGTAGTCCGAGTCTGCGACGCAGACCTCGCAGAGCGGGCCGGTGTGGCCGGCGGTGCAGTAGGGGGCGTCATCTCCGTCAGTGAGGCGGCGGCGGCGGGAGGGCCGGCCGGAGCCACCAGAGCACGTCTCTGAGTCACAGCGGTGGAGCTCCGAGGTGGCGTCGGAGGCGCGCCAGTAGCCGGCGTCCACGCCGAGGGACGCAAGAGTAGTGCCGGCGCTGCAGTCGGTGTGCGGCGGGCACGGCTTGCAGTACTCGGTCGGGGATTTGAAGATGTCGTCCGGGCTGGCGCTCGAGAGCAGGTAGTAGTCCTTCTTGCAGACCGAGCAGGTGACGTCGCCGCGCCCACTACTGAGGGGATTAGGACATGGGATGCACTGGCCCTGGCCAGCGTTGGCGGCGTAAGAACCAACCTCGCACTCGTCGCACTCGTCGCTGCCTTGCTCCGACGAGGTGCCAGGAGCGCAAGGCGTGCACTCGCCCTGCTTGGGCTTGTCCGTGTACGACCCCTTGGCGCACGCCGTCTGCTGCGTCGAGCCCGTGGTGGCGAAGTGGCCCGGCGAGGCGTCGGTGCACTCGCTCGCGGCGGTGAGGTTGGTGGCGGTCGAATAGGTACCCTCCTTGCACGGCCGCGGCGCCGATGCGCCCTCGGCGCAGTAGCTACCCATCTCGCACGCGAGACAGCTCGTCGCGCCCGCCTTGTCCTGGTAGGAACCGCCCGCGCAGCTCAAGCACTCGGAGAGGCCGGTCGTGTTGGCAAAGGCGCCCGGAGAGCACTCCGACGGCAGCGCCGCCCCGCCGCCGCACGATGAGCCCGCGGGGCAAGCGAGGCACTCGGGGTCGCCGTCGGCGTCAGTCATATTGACGTATGTACCCGGATCACACGGCGCCGCCAGCTCGAGCGTCGCGCCCTCAGGACAGAGCTTCCCAGGCGCACAGCGAATGCACTCGGTGGCACCGGGCGCGTTCTGGTAGTAGCCCTCGGGGCACAGCTCGCACGCCTCGCTGCGCGCCTTGGCGGCGAAGCTACCCTGGCGACACGCCGTCTGCTGCGTGGAGCCCCTGGTGGCGAAACGGCCCGGCGAGGCGTCGGTGCACTCGCTCGCGTCGGAGAGGTTGGTGGCGCTCGAGTAGCTGCCAGCCTCGCACGGCAGCGGCGCCGACGCGCCAACAGCGCAGTAGCCGCCCGCCTCGCACGGCTTGCACGCCGTCTGTGCCTCCGCGTCCTGGTACGTGCCGCCGGCGCAGGGCGTGCACTCGCCCTGCTTGGTCTCGCTCGTGTACGACCCCTTGGCGCACGCCGTCTGCTGCGTCGAGCCGGTGGTGGCGAAATGGCCCGGCGAGGCGTCGGTACACTGCGAGGCGGCGGTGAGGTCCGTGGCGTTGGAGAACGTGCCCTTCTCGCACGGCAGAGGCGCCGACGCGCCTGGCTCGCAGTAGCTGCCCTCCGAGCACAGCAGGCAGCCCGTCGCGTTCGGCTCGCCTTGGTAGGTCCCGCCCGCACAGCTGGCGCACTTGGAGAGGCCGGCCGTGGCGGCGAAAGAGCCCGGCGAGCACTCGGAGGGCGGCGCCGCCCCGCCGCCGCACGACGAGCCGGCGGGGCAAGCGAGGCACTCGGGGTCGCCGCTCTGGTCGGTCAGCCTGACGTACGTGCCAGGCGCGCACTGCGCGTCCAGCTCGCGCGACGAGCCCTGAGGGCACAACTTGCCGGCAGCGCAGCGGACGCAGTGGGTGGCGGCGGGCTTGCTCTGGTAGTAGCCCTCGGGGCACAGCTCGCAAGCCTCGCTGCGCGCCTTGGCGGCGAAGCTACCCTGGCGACACGCCGTCTGCTGCGTCGAGCCGGTGGTGGCGAAATGGCCCGGCGAGGCGTCGGTGCACTCGCTCGCGTCGGAGAGGTTGGTGGCGCTCGAGTAGCTGCCAGCCTCGCACGGCAGCGGCGCCGACGCACCCGTCTGACAGTAGTTGCCCTGCTCGCACGCGAGGCAGCCCATCGCGCCGGTGTTGTTCTGATAGGTCCCGCCAGCGCACAGCTCGCATTTGGGGAGCCGCGTCTCGACAGCAAAGGTCCCTGGCGTGCAAGTAGCGGGTGCTGCGGATCTCATTGGGCAACCGTGGCCCGGCGGGCATGGCAGGCAAGAGCTTTGACCGAAGCTGCTTTGAAAAGTTCCCGCAGGACAAGCCAGGCATGCAGTATCCCCGGCTTTGGCATATGTGCCAGGGTCGCATAGCGTGCAATCCTTTACATCTTTCGCGCCAGCCGGAGAGGTTGATCCAGGTGGGCACAGATTTGGCTGTACGCTGCGGCGTGGGCAAAAATGGCCCGGAATACAAGGGCCTTGACACATCGAGCTCGCCTGCGTGTTGACGTTGGTCGAATTTCCGTAGTGTCCAGCGTCACACGCATGGGGATATCCTTCCCGAAAGGTAACATCTTGTGCCACCCGAGTCATGTGACGCCCAGCATACTTTGAGAAGTCGCAAAGCTGCCCACTTGCACATGGCTGCACCGAGCCTTGATCACCAACGCACATGACTGGTTGGCACTCAAAGACACTGTCCAGATAGCTGCCTCGGGGTGCAGGCAGCATGTAGAGAAGCCTGGCCAGCTCGCCGTTAATGAGGTCGCCGACTGCCGCGCAAGGTTCTGCAGAGCCTAGTCTTTCCCTGCATGCATTGCAGCGGACTTCCCCCTGCCCCCCGGCCAGCATAAAGTTTCCAAGTACACCAGTGTTGCTCATTAGCATATCGCCTTCATTAACGACGATCCGATGGCCAGAGTTGTTGGAGATGTCACAGTTGATTAACGTCATCTTCCCCCAGATAGAGTTAGTGACCATACTTCCCCACTCTTCCCCCATATTATCCATACCTCCGCAGTTTGACCTCACAACTGAGTTGACGAGCTCCATTTCGCCCATATTGTGTAGTACAACGCCAGCACTGTGACCTAATTGTCCGTGTAGTCCAGCATTGCTTTCGAATGCACAATCGTGTGCAACAAGACGTCCTGAGTCTGCATTGAATATTACTCCAGTCGCATACGAAATGTAATTGCCACGCATGGTGCATCGCCTCATCGAAACATGTCCTGTGTTGTACAGTGCGGCACCCCTGTAAACAGGACTAGAGGGTGATGCTCCCGCTGCCCGCCCGCCCGTAAGGATGAGATTTTCGAGTTCAACATTTGCGCCCTCACCGATCTGAATCACTCGTTTTCCGTGCGCCCATACGTCTGTTCCATAACCCCCAGCAGCTGCGTCCAATATGACCTCGTGCCCGGGCAGTCCTATGAGGCTCATATTGCGCTTGAGCTGCAATCCTTCGGCAAGATCATTGTACGTAGAAAGATCGTATCGAAAACCTGCCAAGTGAATGATGTGCATTGAATCGTCGGCCACAGCAGAACGCAATTCTGAAATTGAACCAACGATGACTTCTCCAGGGAGAAGTGGAGGCAGAGGCGAAACAGGCGGTGGAGTCGGGGCGGGAGGAGAGTCAGGAGGGACAAACGGCGAGGTAGGTGGGTGCGGACCTGGCGGCGGACTTTGAGGCGTTGGTCGAGACGGCGTCGGAGAAGGGGGGGGGGGGCTCACTGGCGTCGGAGAAGGTGGGCGTGGACTCACTGGCGGAGACGGCGGAGGCGGAGGTAGTGCTGGGGGTGGAGGGGAGGGCCACAGCACGTCGTTGCTGCTAGCGAGGGCCCATTCACCAGATGAGGCCACATATTGCAAAGCAGGATAAAAACTGAGCTCGTTCCTAAAATAAGGTGATATAGGGAATGTGCTCGTTATGCATCCAAGGTTCACATCCTCGCCAAAGTCTACCTGAATCCAGCAGCTTGGATTGCGCAAATCCAGATTGCACGGAAAGTCTGGAAATAAGAAGGCTGCACAGCAGCAATCGCCGACTCCTCTCGATCTCCAGCTGGTTCCGTCCGGTGCCAACATGCATCCAAAACCACAGCAACCGTAGTGACCCGAATCTGACACGGCTACTGGTCTCACCTCAGTACGCTGCGAGCAACGCTGGTCAGAGTAAAAGCCGATGCTGTGGCCCCTGAATCCGCCTCCGCCACCTAGGAAGACTAACCGCCAAATGCGGGCGGTGATCTCGGACGGCCACTGCAAACCGAACTGGTTACTTAACTGCACAGCGTTCGGACCATTCGGCACGGGCGGCGCGGGCGGCACGGGTGACGGGAATGACGGGAGTGGAGGCGTAGGCGGCAACCTAGGAGGTGACGAAGGATCAGGCGACGGGGGAAGCATCGGCGGTGATGGCAAGGACGGAGGCTCTGGCGGGGGTAGGGGCGGAGAAGGCGGAGAGGGAGGACGCGGTGGCGGCGGCGAAGGAGGCACCAACTGGCAGATGCACAAAGCACCACTTGTACAACTCCCTGTGTTCTCGCCAGCATCTTCGAAGAAGAGGATGCCAGAGAATGCAGGGAAGAACGAGCAAAATGGAGGCTGGTCCGTCCGCGGGCCGAAGGTCATGTGGGGGCTGATGTCGGAGAGATCAAGCGCAAACGCTGCTGCAGCACAAGCATTTGCTGCAGTAATATGGTGTTGACAGGTGCCTGATTGCTGCAACACGTACTGCCCTGAAACGGCTACCCATAATGGCGGCCGCGGCGGCGACGGTGGCGATGGCGGCGACGGCAGCACGTAGACGCGAACCCCGCAAAGTGTGAGAGTTCGGCTGCTGCCCGGCAGCGAGATGGCCAATGTATCACCCACAGCCGCTGCGTCGCAAGTGACGAGCTTGTTCTCTCCAGGGCCAATCTGCACATCGTTGGCACAAGTCGACGACGATACCTTGACGGTGAACCCATTCAGACGGTCCGAGCAGCAATCGCCGCGATTCAACACGCGGACAGCGACCACCGTGTAGGTGGATGGGAACGTCACGCGCCACCATGGGTCAGGCGAGGTAGCTGTGTGAGTGCACGTTCCGTCGGACCAGCTGCTGCTTGGGTTCGACGAGGCAACCGCTCGGGAAGCAACACCGCCATGATCGGTGGAACTTTGTGAAGTAGAAGCACTGCTCAAGTCGACGAGGGGAGGCAGCGGCGGCGGAGCCGGGGGCGGCGGCGGCGGCGGCGGCGGCCGCGGTGGCGGCCGCGGCGGCCGCGGCGGCAGCGGCGGTGACGGTGGCGACGGCGGCGACGGCGGTGAGAAGGGCGGCGAGGGCGGCGGGGACGGCGGCGGAGGCGATGGAGGAGGGAAGGCCATCTTCAGCTCAAAGAGGCGTACGCCCACGTCGGGATTGCTCTGCAAGTTCAAGCGCACCTCGAGCGTGGTGGCATCCTGCGGCAGGGTGAACGAGATGCTGAACTCCTGCTCCACGTTGATGGCGCTAAACTCGCTCATCAAGAGGCTCCTCGCAGTGAGGCCGGGGATCGCGCGGCAGCAGCCGCCAGCGTTGGTGTAGTCTGCTCCCAAACTGACTGACGAACTGCTGCGCACGCCCTTGCGAACGAGCACAACGGTGAGGGTGGCCGGCCCCGGCCGGACGCTCGGATACGGCCCCCAAACCCAGCCGTTCAAATACTGCTGGCCGCCGAGCTGGAAGTAAACCCCTTTGGTCACCCACGGATATCGATCGGAGCCAAGGCCTGGGCACCAGACGTTCGGCTCGTCGCATGACTGCGGTGGAGAGGGCGGCGGCGGCGGAGATAGAGGCGGCAGCGGCGGTGACGGTGGCGACGGCGGCGATGGCGGTGAGAAGGGCGGCGAGGGCGGCGGTGAGGGTGGCGGGAAGGCGCCGAGCACGTTGCCGCTCAGATGGGACGCTGCCGCGTACATCTCGTCGGTCGCCAGCCCGCGCGGCCACACGATGAGCTCCGCGATGGCAAAGTCGGAGCTTTGTGACGCATATAGACCGCCGTTGATCCAGAGCGAGGTGCCGCCTGAGCCGCCATCTGATGTGCCCACGTCCACGTCGTTCGCGAGCTTTAGCTGCGATCCCGCGTTCGTGCCACACATGACGAGCCAGTCCGTGTCGGGGGAGAGCTTTAGCTGCGATCCGGTCTCGGCGGTTTTCCAGCCGTGGTAGTGCGCCACGCCGACGTCACCAGCATGATGTCCGTGGAGCCAGTTGACGTCGCCCCCGTTAAGGATCCGGCCCTTGAGCCCTCCGGTGTACCTCGTCACCGAGCAGATGGTGAACTCGCTCTCGATGATGCGGCCGGGTCCGAACCGGACCACCGAAGACGTGCCGCCTTTCAGCGCAGTCACGAACCCTGGCGACCCGTTGCCGCTCTCGCGAACCCGTGAGAATCCGTAGCCGGACAGCGTCGCAGCGTTGCCGCTGCCGCTCGCGTCCGGCCAGGTGCCCTCGGTGAGGTCAAACTCGCCCATTCGGTACCACGCGTTCGCACCAGCCGGCAGCGCAAATGGGCGAAGCGGCGGCAGCGGCGGCGACGAGGGGGGTGCTGGAGGGAAGCCCCACGCGTTCAACTGCAGGTTCCTGATTGAGTGCTCGTTGTTGGCTCCGCCAGTCCGTGCACCCACGACGATGCACCAGTCGTGCATGACCGGTGCAGTCGACACGCTGTTCTCATGGATCAACGTCCCGTCGATCGAGCCGCTCAGACGAGCGCCATCGTACGTAAGGGCTAGGCTGTGCCATGCCCCGCCGTACATCTGATCGTTCCACGTGACCTCGTCAATCGTCCCGCCGTGCGCGAGTCGGGATTTTCCCTGCCACTCGCTCAGGCCCCACGCAAGACCGCCCGTGTCGCCCATGAAGTACTCAGGTTTCTCCCACGCATGGTTCCAATCCGCGCACGAGGGCGCGCTGGTGGGGCACGGCCAGTACACGATGCCCACCCCGTCAGCTCCGGAATGGCTTGTGAAGAAGTACTCCAACGTCAGGCTGAATCCCGCGTACCTCGCAGATGGTAGTTGCACGAAGCCGTTCTTTCCGTTGGACGCGGGCGTCAGCTGCAGGTACTCTTGGGCCAACCCTAACCCTAACGCTTGGGTATACGTGGCGTCGTTGCATACGGCAGCGCCGCTGCAATCTATCGAGTTGTCGAACGGGCAGGACCACGCGAGGGGAGCAGAAGGCGGCGGGGAGGGCGGGGAGGGCGGGGAGGGCGGTGACGGCGGAGACGGCGGCGATGAAGGCGGAGACGGCAAGGACGGCGGTGTCGGAGGTGGGGGGGGCGGACGGATGGCGCCAATGTACACGTTGGCACCGTTGTTGTTGGGCAAGACGGATTCGCCACGCATGCCAGAGCTGGCTCCTCCGTACAGCAGATCACCCGCAGGTATTGCATCCCCGTGGTCGACGAGGGAAATCCATGGGTCTTCACGGTTGTATGACGCACCACGGTTGTACCACCGCGCATAATAGCTGTCGCTGTTGGTGGAGGATGCAAGGATCGGTCGACGAGAATTACTGTACGTAGTTCCAATGGCGGCGTCTCTGGTGCAGATGAGCCACTTTGCCGCATCACCCGTCGCGAAGAGGAAGTGCGTGAAGGGGACGTTTGACCAATCAATCGAGAAAGTGCACGAGTCGGAGGGCCCACATGGAGTGCCGTAGACGTCAGTTCCCATCAGCCCATCGGTGGCTGGATGCCACGTAGTGCCGCTTTGAACACGCCGAACCAGCCGCCAGTTATCGACGAAACCCGTCCAAGGCGGCGGAGGGGGCAGTGGTGGCGAAGGCGGCCTTAGCGGTGGGCGCGGCGGCGGCGGCGGCGGCGACGGCGGCGACGGCGGCGACGGCGGCGACGGCGGCGACGGCGGCAGCGATGGTGGCGAGGGCGGCGAGGGCGGTGAGGGCGGCGGCCTCTGAGGCGGAGGCGGCGGCATGCTGCGGAAAGCCGCAAGCCCGTATGAGGTGAACCTGGCGGTCGGCGGCGAGTAGGAGGAGACACTGTCCGCCGTCCCATCATCACAGGTGAGTGCCCACGACGTCGGATCTCGTTCGATGGCGTCGTTGGCGGTGTACAGCTGGTAGCCGGTGATGAAGGGTGCGCCGGCGATGGTGAAGATGATCGTGCGGCTGCCCGAGGTCCGGAAGTCGAGCCACTTTGTACTTGTGAGGCCGTCGACGAGGTTGGTGATCTCCTCATTGGCAGGGCTGCTGCCACCGGGGACGCTGAGCGTCGCGATGATGAGCTGCGTGGGCCCCTCGAAGAGCCGTAGCTCGGAGAGCTGCAAGATGCTACTGGCCGTCCGCGTCGCGGTGAGGACAAATGTACACGACAGCGGCGGCGGCAAGGAGGGCGGCGGAGCAGGAGGCAAGAGGGGCAAGGAGGGCAGCGGAGCAGGAGGCAAGGGGGGCGGAGAGGGCGGCGACAGCGGAGAGGGCGGCAGCGGCGGAGATAGAGGCGGCGGCGGCGGTGACGGCGGCAGCGGTGAGGGTGGGGGCAGAGAGGGCGGCGACGGTAGAGAGGGCGGCGATGGCGGCGGCGGCGGCGGAGATGTCGGTGGGGGCGACGGAGACGGTGGGGGCGACGGAGAAGGCGGCGCGGGCGGCGGCGGCGGAACAACGAGGCCGCACATCTGCACCGCATCGATCTCCTCCCAGCCAGAGACCTGCGTCCAGATCTTGATCGTATCGGCGAGCACGCCGCCAAGCACGACCACCTCGAGGGCCTCGCCGCAAACCGTCGTGTCCGTCTGCTCCCAGATCGTAATGCTACCTGCTACGAAGGAGGACGTGGCCTCAACTTTGGTCACGAACGGCGCCCTGAACGTCTCGAAGATGTAGAGCTGGTGGACCTCATAGAGGTTGCCAAACGTCAGTTCGAGCCATTCTGCGGTGTCAGCGGTACCTGCGGGTGCCCACGCGCCGCGGGCATCACCGCAACTGGGGGCGACGTCTGGCTCGCCGGTCGCCTCACACGCGTTCCAGCTGCTCCCTTTTATGCAGGTAGAGTCGAACTGCGACGACGCCACAGCAGAGGCCCCCCAGACGCACGTCAACGGCGGCGGCGGCAGTGGCGGAGACGGCGGCGACGGTGGCGAGGGCGGCGGCGGCGGCGGCGGTGGCGGCGACGGCGGCGGCGGCGGCGGTGACGGAGAGGACGGCGGCGGCGGCGGCAGCGGCGGCGGCGGCGGAGAGGGCGGCGGCGACAGCGGCGGCGCCGCCGGCGGCGGAGGTTTGGGCGGGTGCGCCGGTGAGGGCGGAGGCGAAGAAGGCGACGGAGATGGCGGCAAGGACGGCGGCGACTGCGGAAAGGGCGGCGCCGGCGCCGGCGGCGGCGAAGGCGGCTGCGGCGGAGAGAGAGGCGGGAACAGAGGCGGGGACAGTGGCGGCGGGGGCGGGGACAGAGGCGGCGGAGACGCGGCCGCCCTGCCGAGTAGCAGCGCGGCGGCGGCCACGCGGACTTGGGCGGCGGATGGCTCGAGCGAGGCGATTCCGCCGAGCCGCAAAGCTACCGCGCCGACGAGGCCCGTCTCGACAACCCGCCGGGCCTTCCCAGCGGCGTCGGCGGGACACGACTCGGGCACGATGCTGTTGACGGATAGGAGGCCCAACATGGCGCCGCGCCACCGAGTGTACCTCGCGATCGAGGCCTCGTAGGTCACGCCGCACAGGCCGACCATTGCGACAAAGCAGAAGAAGTAGAAGAAGATCTGGGTGCTGCCAGTCGGTGCCATGCCCTCGATCTTCTTGGCGCGCCTCGAGCGCTTCTGGACCTTGTCGGGGCCGGTCTTGCTAGCCGTGGAGCCTCTCCAACTCAGCGCCACGACAGAGACGCCGAGGCACCCAATGAGGGCACTCATGAGGAGGGGCCAGGGAGAGCTGCCGGCCGTGTCCGTCTCGGCCGTGAAGATGTCGGCCTGTGGAAAGGCAAGCGCGTGCGACAGTCCGTCAGGCACGCTGGAAGAAGCACGTGATATGGCTTGGGCCAGAGGAACGATAGGAACGCGGCGGCACGGCGAGCAAACAGCGCGGCTCGCCTGGTCCGCCCACTCTAGCTCGCCCTGCTCGAACTCGAGCGTGGTAGAGTCGGCGCAGTTGAAGGAGACGCAGCGTGGCCGCGAGCCGGCGAGGTCACTTGAAATTGAGAAGAGATCGGTCGACTCGGCCGTCTTTGAGTCGGCGATCTGAGTGGCGCAGACCTCCGCTCGCCGCGCTAGCTCCTCCAGCGACGCCTCGCTGCGCTGCTCCTCCGACACCTCGGTCTTTGGCGGAACGGTCTTTGGCGGAACCGGCAGAATCATGGGCACCGCCTCAGTCTCGGACCACTGGGCCGGGATGGGCAGCGACGCCTGGGCCTTGCTAGAGGCGGCCCAGCAGCCTGGTGGCTCCTCGGACTCGAGCGCAAAGCGCCGTTCCGCCGTGGCGGGGCGGCGGGTGCGCACCTGGAGCGGCCAAATGCAGCGAGTGTTCATGCAGGGCAGACAGGGCGGGCAGAACGGGCAGCGGCGCGGGTGGGCAGGGGTGATGGTTTGGCAGCCGATGCAGCGGCGTGGGGAGTGCAGTGCGGGTCGCCGAGCGCCTGATGCGCCCGCTTCAGCTCGCCCTGCCCGACCTCGAGCAGCGAGGAGTTGGTGCGGGCAAAGGAGGCGCAGGCGCGCTGCCAGTCGGCGCACCTGCTTGAGACGGAGAAGAGATCGGACTCGACCGCGTTCGAGTCGGAGATCCGGGTGGAGCGGAGCTCTGCGGGACACGCAAACTCCCCCAGCGCGGCCGTCAGACGCGCATCGATGGCCCGGTCGCTCTGGAGGAAGAGGAGGTGCTGGGGCGCTGCCGCTCGCCCGACGTCCGCCGGCTTTGTCGTTGGCGGGCCGAGCGGGGCGACCAGGAGGCCGATGGACGCCTCAAGGGTCGCGAGAGGGGCGTACGCCGCATCCGGCGGCGCCTCGGTCTTGACAGAATCCTTGGTCGGGACTCGAGAAGCGTTCGCCAATCCGTCGTTCGCCCGCCACTCGCCGCCGGCGTGCATGCCAGAGACGGGCGCGCCGAGGCCAGTCTCGACCAGCTTCCGCACCTCCAGCATCCCAGGCTTCCGAGCGTCGGCGGGCCGCGACTCGGGCGACGTGTCGTTCACGGGCAAGACGGTGTCGCGTCCCCGAGCGATGATCCCCGTCCTGTTGCTGTGGACGGGGCCGACAGAGTCGATCTCAGGCTCGCCCTTGCGCTCCATGCTGTTGCGCGAGGCCGGGACGGTCTCCAAGTCGGCCTCGGCCTACACGCAAACACAGGCAATCGTTCCGTCAGCGGGTTACAAAGCTCGCACACAGAAAGAGCCAGAGGGGCGCTCACCGGCGGCTTCTCGTGGACGCCCTTGACGGACGCCGGCGGCTCGCCAATCAGGTGCAACGGCTCGCCCACCGCCTCGTCGATCTCGTCCATTAGTGCTTCCCACAAGCGCCCCTCGTCGCATCCGCCCTGAACGGCGCGGGGGCTGTTGGTCACGAGCTTGCGCGGTGCGGATACTAGCACGCGAGCGAGCGAGCACGCACCGGGTGGTTGGCGGGCACGCTGTCCGACGACACGATGGCTGCAAACGAGCTGGTGTCGTTGCCGCCAATCTCGCAGAAGCCGTTGAGCGTGAACGGCGTTGTGACTGCGGGAAAGGAAGTCGGGGACTCGTACCGCTGCGAGGAGAGGAGCGAGGTGGCAGAGTACGAGAAGTGCGCAAACGCGGCTCCGAGGCAGAGCGCGAGGATGCCAAACAGGCGGAGCAAGTTGTAGGACTTTGGCCACGAGAACCGGCCGGAGGTAGAGCCCCCGGCCGTGGTAATCGTGGTCGTCTCGACGTTGACCGTCGCGCCCTGAAGAGGAGGGCGCGGGCCTGGCCGTGTGAGCGGCGAGCGGGGGAGGAGAGGAGGCCGCATATGCAAGCGGCGAGCACCGAATTTGTGGTCGACGGCGTGGAGCCGCGGGGCACCTTGCCGGTGCCACCGAGGATGCCCTCGTCGCCGTCCGTTCCGAGCAAGGCCCCGAACCTGTTGCTGCCGCCGACCGGGGTGGTGTTCTTGGTGCGGACGATCGGGGCGGATGCGCCCTTGCGCCCCTTCTTGCGGCGCGGGTTCGACGGGGTTGTCCGGTCGGAGATACCCTGCGCGCGCGCAAGCGGTGGGTGCGTCAATAGTTGAGGCTCTGCGCGTGCACCGCAGCGTACGAGCCGATCGGCGCCGTGGCGGGCTTCACCCCCGGAAATTCCTTGGCCGAGACGGTCCAGTCGGCGTCGCCCTGCGCAATGAAAGCGGGGTGCAAGTGAAGGAGGCCGACGCGCGGCGCAGAGTGCGCGGCGCTCGCCGCTGGAAGCTCCTTGATCGACGGCAGCGGCGCGCCGCCGGCGGTGACCGGCTCGAGAGCCGGCGCGTCTTCGGTGACCGGCTTGAGAGCCGGCGCGTTTGTGGTGACGCCGGTTGGGGCCGTCTTCGGGTCGGTCGGGCGGTCGGGCCGTCTTCGGGCCTTTGAGTTGCGGCGCCACATCACCGTGCCGATGGCGCCGCAGGCGATGGCGAGGAGGATGAGCACGATTGCGGGCATGAGAAGCGGCGAGCAGCTCACGAGCGAGGACGCCGTCGAGGCGACGGCGGGCGAGAAGGCCGAGGACGCCGCCGAGGCGACGCCGGATGAGAAGTCAGAGGACGCCGCCGAGGCGACGGAGGCTGCCGAGGCGACGGCAGACGAGAAGGACGAGGCCACCGCCGTCGGGCTAGGCACGGCGGACGCGCAGTGGCCAAAGGCGGGCATGCAGACGAGGAGCAGCCACCGGAAGGCGCCCTCGGCCTTCGTGTAGCCGCCCTGCACGCAGTTGGCCGCCGCCTTGAGGGCGGCGCGACCGCCGGCGCCGCATGTGCCAGCGACGGCGCCGCACGTGCCAGCGCCGGCGCCGCACGTGCCAGCGCCGGCGCCGCACGTGCCAGCGGCGAATGGCGCCTTGCCGGACGTGGTCTGCGGCTCGCGGCGCCAGTTCGGGCGGCGGCCGCGGCCCTTTGCCTTGCCAGACTTGCGCCTGCCCTTTGCCTTGCCAAACTTGGGGTTGTTGCGGCAGCGCATGGCCTTGCGCCGGCACTTCCCCGAGCGCCGCGACTGCAAGTCCGCCCACTTCTCCCGTTGCTCGGCAATGAGATCGAGCGCGGCCTTCGCCTTCTTGAGCCGCCCCTCCCAGTGCTCGCGCTCCTTGGCGGCCTCGGCCTCAGCCTGCCCCGCGCCCGCGACCGCGCTCAGGGGCTTGGGCGCCACGGGCGCAATGCCGCCGGAGGTGGGGACTCCCGGCGACGGCGACTTCTCGCCGTCGGCGGGCGCAGCCTGGTAGCTGACGCTCTCGCCCAGCCGGCGGACTGCAGCCTCGACGCCGTCCACGTAGCCCGGTCCGGAGCCGCTGCGGGCCGACGCGGGCCCGCTCTTCCCCGCCGCCATCGGCGTGGGCAGGCCCGGGTAGCAGGTGGTGTCCTGCAAGCGCGGGAAGGGAGATTATTACCGGTGGGAGAGCGAGTGGGTCGGCAGACGCACGGCGCAGAATGCAAGGCGCTCGCCGCCGGGGCGGGCGTCTCCACCGGAAACTCCTCGCTCGACGGCAGCAGCGCGCCGCCGGTCGCCGCCGGCGTGAGAGCCGGGACACTTTTGGTGACGCCGTTGGGGGCCGTCGGTGGGTCCATCGGAGTGGTGTTCTTGGAGCAGTCGACCAGGCTGGGCTTGCCCTTGCGCTCGATCTTGCGGAGCGGGGAGGGGGTCGTCCACTCGTCGATGCCCTGCGCGTGTGCGAGAGGCCACAGGGTCAATATGAGTACCGCACGTGGGACTCCCGTGTCCCGGCAATACCCATGTCCATGTGTGCACGTGCTCGATCGAGAGGGCGAATGCAAATCGTGTGAGCGTACAGCGGTGCAGGAGACGCTGCAGGGGGCTGCAGGGCGCTCACCGCCGAAGCCGTCTCCTCCGGGAACGTCTTGGCCGACGCCGGTGTCTCGTCGTCCTGGTAGCAGGGGCTCTCCAAGGAGAAGGCTTGCGCGAGGACACCCAGCGCCTGCCAAACGCGCTCGACGAAGAGGGCCGCCGCCTTGGAGTTGTCGGACACGCACAGCATCTCCTGCAGATCTTGGATGTCGTTCTCCAAGAACATCCCGGTGATCTTGCCGGCCCACACGCTGTTGAGCGTCGACACGATGTAGTGGATGCGGTTGCCAATGCAAGAGGTGGCGTCCATGCATTGCGACGACTCTGTCGCCACCCGAGCCACCGCCACCCACCCCGCCAGCAAGACCATGTCGATGGCCACGCCCAGCTGCGAGTTGAGCTTATCCGCGAGCTCGGCTGCCGCGCACCAGTCATCGCCCGTGGGCCAGAGCAGGATCATCTCGTCCTCGAGCGATGCGGGCTCGCCGTTGGACGGGATGACGTGCTCGAGCGATGCGGGCTCGCCCTCGGACTGGATGCCGCCAGCGGGCTTGCCGCCGGCGTCAACGATGTCCTTGAGCGGACCGGGCTCTTTCTTCTTCCATGACTTCGACTCGTCGTCCTCCACCTCGATGAGGTCGACCATGTAGCGCCTCTCGGTGCGCGTCCTGCACAGCGGACAGAATGGGTGCCGTGAGCGGAGTGAGGCAAGGCGCCTGCATGGTCAGAGATGTGCGAACAACTATGCGCGTGTGTGGGGTCTGAATGAGAGGAAAGTGACGGGGGACAAAGCTCGGACGTTGAGCCTGCGGAGGGCGGCGCAACGAGGGAGCGGGCTAAGGTTCATTTCGGGCGAGTGTTGCAGGCGACGAGGGCCAGAGAATAAATAGAGGGCGAGGGCGAGGGCGAGGGCGGCGGGGTGTGTGTGTTTCTGGGGGGGGGGTGGGGGGGGGAGGGGAGGAGGCAGGAAGGGGGCGGGGGCTGCGGCGGCGGGAGTGTCGACGGCACAGGGCGGCGAATGCTTCGGTGGCGGCGGTGAAGGCTGCGGCGGCACGTTGCGCGGCGGAGGCGGCGGCACAACGGCGGCGGTGGGCCGGAAGTGGCAGCAACGAAGCGGCGGCGGGCGAATCGTCGTTCATAGCCTGGCCGTAGTAGTCAGGCACGCACGGCGACGCGTCGTTCATTGCCTGGCCGCAGTAGTCAGGTACGCACGGCGACGCGTCGTTCATTGCCTGGCCGCAGTAGTCAGGCACGCACGGCGACGCGTCGTTCATTGCCTGGCCGACAGTGGTGACAGCGGCGGCGGCACGGAGGGCGGTGGGGCCGACGGCGGCGGCGAGGGCGGTGGCGGCGAGGGCGGGGGCGGAGACGGTGGCGGCGGCTAGGGCGGCGGCGAGGGTGGCGGCGGAGAGGGCGGCGGGGGCGAGGCCTGGGTGGAGGCGGCGAGGGCGGCGGCGAGGGCGGCAGAGACAGTGGTGGCGGAGACGGTGGCGGTGGCGAGGGCGGCGGCGGCGAGGGTGGAGGCGAGGGCGGCGGAGGTGGCGGCGGCGAGGGCGGCGGAAAGGGTGGCGGTGACGGTGGTGGGGGCGAGGGCGGCGGCGAGGGTGGCGGTGACGGTGGCGGCGAGGACGGTGGCGGCGAGGGCGGCGGCGGCAGGGCGGCGGCGACGCGAGGGCGGCAACGGCGAGGGTGGCGGCGAGGGCGACGGCGACGCGAGGGCGGCGGCGGCGAGGGCGGCGGTGACGGCGGCGGCGGCTGGTAGAACTAGCTCTCGAACTCGTTGCTGAAGCCGCACGCACGGTACGAGGAGTGCAGGGTGGCGCCCACCACGTACGCGGCCGTGCTGTACTCGGTGTTGCACGCGGCCGGGTCGACGTAGCACCACTCGTGCTCGACCCGTGGAGGGGGCCGTACGTGCCGGGGTACGCGAGGCTCACGCCGTCCGCCGTGACGACATGCACCTCGCCGCTCACGAGGCTGACGCCGGCCGGGTAGGCGGCGAGGCACGGGCAGTCGAGCGGCGGCGAGGGCGGCGGCGGCGAGGGCGGCGGCGACGGCGACGCGAGGGCGGCGGCGACGGCGACGCGAGCGCGGCGGCGGCGAGGGCGGCGGCGACGGCGACGCGAGGGCGGCGGCGGCGAGGGCGGCGGCGACGGCGACGCGAGGGCGGCGGCGGCGAGGGCGGCGGTGACGGCGGCGGCGGCTGGTAGAACTAGCTCTCGAACTCGTTGCTGAAGCCGCACGCACGGTACGAGGAGTGCAGGGTGGCGCCCACCACGTACGCGGCCGTGCTGTACTCGGTGTTGCACGCGGCCGGGTCGACGTAGCACCACTCGTGCTCGACCCGTGGAGGGGGCCGTACGTGCCGGGGTACGCGAGGCTCACGTCATCCGCCGTGACGACATGCACCTCGCCGCTCACGAGGCTGACGCCGGCCGGGTACGCGGCGAGGCACGGGCAGTCGAGCGGCGGCGAGGGCGGCGGCGGCAGGGCGGCGGCGACGCGAGGGCGGAGACGCGAGGGCGGCGGCGGCGAGGGCGGCGGTGACAGTGGTGGCGGAGACGGTGGCGGTGGCGAGGGCGGCGGCGGCGAGGGCGGCGGCGACGGCGACGCGAGGGCGGCGGCGGCGAGGGCGGCGGTGACGGCTGCGGCTGGCAGAACCAGCTCTCGAACTTGTTGCTGAAGCCGCACGCACGGTACGAGGAGTGCAGGGTGGCGCCCACCACGTACGCGGCCGTGCTGTACTCGGTGTTGCACGCGGCCGGGTCGACGTAGCACCACTCGTGCTCGACCCGTGGAGGCCGTACGTGCCGGGGTACGCGAGGCTCACGTCATCCGCCGTGACGACATGCACCTCGCCGCTCACGAGGCTGACGCCGGCCGGGTACGCGGCGAGGCACGGGCAGCCGAGCGGCGGCGAGGGCGGCGGCGGCGAGGGCGGCGGCGACGGCGACGCGAGGGCGGCGGCGACGGCGACGCGAGCGCGGCGGCGGCGAGGGCGGCGGCGACGGCGACGCGAGGGCGGCGGCGGCGAGGGCGGCGGCGACGGCGACGCGAGGGCGGCGGCGGCGAGGGCGGCGGTGACGGCGGCGGCGGCTGGTAGAACTAGCTCTCGAACTCGTTGCTGAAGCCGCACGCACGGTACGAGGAGTGCAGGGTGGCGCCCACCACGTACGCGGCCGTGCTGTACTCGGTGTTGCACGCGGCCGGGTCGACGGCGAGGGCGGCGGATAGGGTGGCGGCGGCGAGGGCGGCGGCGAGGGTGGCGGCGGAGAGGGCGGCGGGCGCGAGGGTGGAGGCGGCGAGGGCGGCAGCGAGGGCGGCGGCGACGGTGGCGGCGGAGACGGCGGCGGCGGCGAGGGCGGCGGCGAGGGCGGCGAAGACGGTGGCGGCGGCGAGGGCGGCGGATAGGGTGGCGGCGGCGAGGGCGGCGGCGAGGGTGGCGGCGGAGACGGCGGCGGCGGGCTGGGCGGCGGGCTTGGCGGCGGCGACGGCGGCGGTGACGGCGGTGAGGGCGAGGGTGGCGGACTGGGCGGCGGTGACGGCGGCGGCGGTGACGGCGGCGGCGGTGAAGGCGGCGGCGGCGGTGGAGGAGCCGGCGGCGGCGGAGAGGGCGGAGAGGGCGGCGGCGGCGACGGCGGCGCGGTGACGGCGGCGGCGGCGGAGAGGGTGGGGGCGGCGACGGTGGTGACAGCGGCGGCGGCGCAGAGGGCGGTCGGGCCGACGGCGGCGGCGAGGGCGGTGGCGGCGAGGGCGGCGGCGACGGCGACGCGAGGGCGGCGGCGACGGCGACGCGAGCGCGGCGGCGGCGAGGGCGGCGGCGACGGCGACGCGAGGGCGGCGGCGGCGAGGGCGGCGGCGACGGCGACGCGAGGGCGGCGGCGGCGAGGGCGGCGGTGACGGCGGCGGCGGCTGGTAGAACTAGCTCTCGAACTCGTTGCTGAAGCCGCACGCACGGTACGAGGAGTGCAGGGTGGCGCCCACCACGTACGCGGCCGTGCTGTACTCGGTGTTGCACGCGGCCGGGTCGACGTAGCACCACTCGTGCTCGACCCGTGGAGGCCGTACGTGCCGGGGTACGCGAGGCTCACGCCGTCCGCCGTGACGACATGCACCTCGCCGCTCACGAGGCTGACGCCGGCCGGGTACGCGGCGAGGCACGGGCAGCCGAGCGGCGGCGAGGGCGGCGGCGGCGAGGGCGGCGGCGACGGCGACGCGAGGGCGGCGGCGACGGCGACGCGAGCGCGGCGGCGGCGAGGGCGGCGGCGACGGCGACGCGAGGGCGGCGGCGGCGAGGGCGGCGGCGACGGCGACGCGAGGGCGGCGGCGGCGAGGGCGGCGGTGACGGCGGCGGCGGCTGGTAGAACTAGCTCTCGAACTCGTTGCTGAAGCCGCACGCACGGTACGAGGAGTGCAGGGTGGCGCCCACCACGTACGCGGCCGTGCTGTACTCGGTGTTGCACGCGGCCGGGTCGACGTAGCACCACTCGTGCTCGACCCGTGGAGGCCGTACGTGCCGGGGTACGCGAGGCTCACGCCGTCCGCCGTGACGACATGCACCTCGCCGCTCACGAGGCTGACGCCGGCCGGGTAGGCGGCGAGGCACGGGCAGCCGAGCGGCGGCGAGGGCGGCGGCGGCGAGGGCGGCGGCGACGGCGACGCGAGGGCGGCGGCGACGGCGACGCGAGCGCGGCGGCGGCGAGGGCGGCGGCGACGGCGACGCGAGGGCGGCGGCGGCGAGGGCGGCGGCGACGGCGACGCGAGGGCGGCGGCGGCGAGGGCGGCGGTGACGGCGGCGGCGGCTGGTAGAACTAGCTCTCGAACTCGTTGCTGAAGCCGCACGCACGGTACGAGGAGTGCAGGGTGGCGCCCACCACGTACGCGGCCGTGCTGTACTCGGTGTTGCACGCGGCCGGGTCGACGTAGCACCACTCGTGCTCGACCCGTGGAGGGGGCCGTACGTGCCGGGGTACGCGAGGCTCACGTCATCCGCCGTGACGACATGCACCTCGCCGCTCACGAGGCTGACGCCGGCCGGCGGTTCGACGCGTCGCGCTACGCTGCGGTCCTCAAGGCGTGCGCGCTGGAGACCGACCTGGCGCAGCTGGGCAGCGGCGACTTGACAAGGGTGGGCGAGAAGGGGGTGATGCTATCGGGCGGGCAGCGGCAGCGCGTGGCGCTCGCGCGCGCGTGCTACTCGCCGGCGCCGATCTTGCTGCTCGACGA